CAAATATGCCCAATTTGAATTTTACTCAAGGGCAGAGTACAGTTTTGCCAAAATTAGTGTGTACGTCTCTTTGTCTTTGTTTTTTTTAAAAAAAAAAATTGCTCATTTTCTAAACTACTCAGATCCTAAGGAAGATACGATCAGCAAGAACTGGCCAGATCTGGGTCTCTAGGTAACATACATCTACTAAAAGGATCACTTTCCTCTCCAGTTTAGGGCTAGACCATTCCTATTTCAAAATGTCTCTAGGAATCTTTCAGAGATCCTCACAATGGCTCCCTTAATGCCATGCGTAATCTCTCTCAATGAAGTTCAGAGCAGGTTGGAGCTGGATGGATATTACAGGTTATCCAGGCCCCTGCCCGGAGCCACAGCAGCAAAGGGACAGCAGAGTTAGGACTGCAGTGCCAGCTCCCAGGACACATTTGGGAGTCAGCCTCCATCCTCACATGGGGTCTTCCATCCACAGAATGTGGCACCTGCCACGGCACATGTCTGCATTTCACTAGATGACCAGGAGTAGCCATGCCTGAGGCTGAGAATGAAGGGCAGGGCAGCGCCATCTCTCCTCCCCATGGGAACCAGCAGCTGCACACAGTCTTGGTTCCCAGCTCTTCCCCTGGCCCTCGGAGCACTTCAAAACAGTGCAGGGTGCGAGGAGTTCCCTTATTACACAAGAGACTGCAGCAGGGGGGTTGTTTCCCTCTACTCTCCCCACTCATCCCAGAAGACAGCTGCAGGTTTCACTGCCCTTGTCATCCTGAGGCAGCTCTCCTTCCCTCCTGTGCTCCCTTTTCATCCTCAGCCTCCCATGTCTCTCTGCCCTCAGATCCCTCCTCCCTCCCTCCTAGCTCAGAGACCTACTCCTGGAGTCCCACTTCCTAATTCTTTTTTTGTTTCATTTATATTTATAAAATATTTCTAGATATTCTTTTTTGTTATTGGTGGACAGCAATCTTTTTTTGTTTGTTTGTTTGTTTTTGAGATGGAGTCTCGCTCTAGAGAGATTCCCAGGCTAGAGTACAGTGGTGCAATCTCAGCTCACTACAACCTCACTTCCCAAGTTCAAACAGTTCTCCTACTTCAGCCTCCCAAGAAGCTAGGATTATAGGCATGCATCAGCAACCCAAGATTTTTAAATTTTTTCTTTTTTTTTTTGAGACAGTCTCACTCTGTCACTCAGGCTGGAATGCAGTGGTGTGACCTCAGCTCACTACAACCTCTGCCTCCCGGGTTCAAGAGATTCTCCTGCCTCAGCCTCCCGAGTAGTTGGGATTACAGGTGTGCACCACCATGCCTGGCTAATATTTGTATTTTTAGTAGAAATGGGGTTTTGCCATGTTGGCCAGGCTGGTCTCGAACTACTGACCTCAAGTGATCTGCCTGCCTTGGCCTCCCAAAGTGCTGATTACAGGTGTGAGCCACTGTACCTAATTCTTTTTATTTATTTTTATTGTTTTCTCTTTAGAGTGTAGGTCTCTCTCTGTCACCCACACTGGAGTGCAGTGACACGATCACAGCTCACTGTAGCCTCAAACTCCTGGCCTCAAGCCATCTTACTGCTTCAGCCTCCCGAGCAGCTAGGACTATAGGCACACACCACCATGCCTAGCTAATGTTTTTATTTTTGTGGAGGTGGGGTCTCACTGTGTTACCCAGACTGGTCTCTAACTCCTGGCCTCAATCAGTCCTCCCACCTTGGCCTCCCAAAGTGCTGGGATTACAGGGGTGAGCCACCACACCCAGCTCCCACTTTATAATTCTTGTACTAGGTCTCCGTGCCCTCCCAACCCTCCAGGTGTCTCTACTGAGCCCTTCTGTACAGCTGTGAAGTGCCCAAGACACTGAATCTCTTCTGCTTTTTTGTTTCTGAGTGAGCCTGTGGTCTTTGTTTTGATGGAGATATTCATGTACTATACAGTTCACCCACTGAATATGTATAGTTCAGTGGTTTTAATCTATTAATTTTTAATTGTAAAATATATATAACATAAAATTTGCCATTTCAACCATTTTTAAGTGTAAATTCAGTGACATTAATTATACTCATCATGCTGTGCAGCCATCACCATTATCTATTTCCACAACTTTTCCATCGCCCCAGCCAAAACCTACACTATTAATCCGTAACTTCCCACTTTCTTCTCCCCTAGCTCCCAACCTCTGGTAACCTCTGATGTATTATCTCCTGTATGAATTTGCCTGTTTAGATATTTCATATATGTAGACTCAAACTATTTGTCCTTTTGTGTCTGGTTTATTGCATTTAATGTTTTCAAGGTCCATCCATATTGTAGCATGTATCAGAACTTTTTTCTGTGGTGGGGAGACAGGGTCTCTCTGTCACCCAGGCTGGAGTGCAGTGGTGTGATCATAGCTCACTGCAGCCTCAAACTCTTGGGCTGGAGGAATGATCCTCCCACCTCAGTCTCCCAAACAGCTGGGACTGCATACACACACCACCCTACCTGGCTTATTTTTTAAATTTTTTGTAGAAATGGGCTCTTACTGTGTTGCCCAGGCTGATCTTGAACTCCTGGCTTCAAGCCATCCTCCCACCTTAGCCTCCCAAAGTGCTGGGATTGCAGGCATCAGCCACCCCTCCCAGCATTCATTCATTTTTATGACTGAATACTATTCCATTGTATGGATACACCACAGTTTCTATCCATCCATCAGTTGATGGACACTTGTGTTGTTTCCAGCTCTTGGTGTTGTGAACAGTGCTGCAGTGAACATTGGCTTACATGTATCTGAGTACCTGTTTCCAATTCCTTTGAATACGTACTTAGGAATGGAATTGCTATACGGTAACTCTGTGTTTAGCTTTTTGAGGAACGAGCCTATGGACATTTCATATTTAAACTGTCATAACTGGGAGGTTTGGGTCTTTATTAATTAAAATTTATCTATTTTGAGTTAACATGAAGAGCCATAAATATATGCAACCAATTCATTCCTCACCTTCTTTTGAGTTCATAACAATTCTCATCTGTACGAGTCATCTAATCACGGAGGCTTTGTGACATCCCTTATTCTCTCTAACTGGTTATTTTAAAGCTTTTACTGTTTAACTTGTCATGTTTTTATACAGTCCTCCACTGAGATTTTAATCTCCTCAAGGGTAGAGACACATATTTCTTTGTATGGGTATTCCCTGTAGTACCTACCATAGATAGATCTCCAAGATGTGATGAGTTTTAATTTTCTTTCATTTCAATCTTCTGGTTTATTCATAGACTCGAAAGAAAGAAACTTTTCCAGCAAGTCCTTACCCTGCTAGAATTCTCTTTGCCTAGATAAGTTTTTCGCAAACCTGTTTTCACATGTTAAATAAGTTAACACAACTTCTAAGAAGAATAATGACAGCAGCTGTTAAGGAATACTTACCGTGTGTTGTGTACCATTTAAAGCACTTTACTTGTGTTTTCTCACTTAGTTCTCAATACAAGCCTATGACTTAGGTACAGTTATTACCTACCTTTTACTAATGTGGCCACTAAATCACTGCCCTATTCCCAGCACATGCTGAAGTTAGACATCTGACTGCAAGGTTCATGTTCTCACCCACAAACACAGTTGGGTACCCTGACTCAGAGAGGACAGTGTCCAGCCACTGGAAGAACTATCCAGCCTAGTGTCAGGAGTGCTGGGCGTTGGGGAGCAAGGCCAACGCCTCCTCCAGACCGCTCCTCCTGGTTCCCCTAGCCTTCTGTAGCTCCACAGCTGTGCTCAGTTCTCCCATCCCTCCTTCCTGGCTGCTGTGGGCTCTGGAATTTGCCCACTTCCCTGCTGCCCCTAGGGTGGTAGAGATCCACCATGGGAAGAGCCTGGCCTGGCTATGTGGCCTTTAACAAGATACTTAGGAGGTGGCTGTGACTCCATTAGGCTCTATAAATACCAGCTGCTTCTCTCATCCAATTAGCTGGAAACTGACCTGCTTGCCTAGGCAATTGCTATTTCTTAAAAATAAATGATCAATATACAAAAATAGATGCACATTCAGTTTTAAAGCCTTAAATAAGCACACAGTAAGCAATACATTTCATATCCATCATGCCAACAAGCCTCTCGCTGAGCTTGAAGACAGAAGTGGTTCCCAAAGTAACCACACTAACTTAAAAATCTCTGAATAAATAGGCCAGCCAAGAGCCATCCAAAGCCAGTGCCTCCCTATTGTCTGAAGTTTCACATGTAAGATGAAGCCCAGGGCATCAGAATGGCTTTAACATGGCATCAGCCTGGCAAGGGCCTTCCCACCAGGTGCCAGTGCCATGCCGACCCCCATCCTTGGTCCAGGCAGTGGAAAAGCCGCAGGTGATCCAGGCTTCTGAGAAGGGGAGTGCAGAGGTCCCTGTGGCCTGCGTACAGTCAGCCCACAGAGCACAGTCAAAGCAAGGAGAAGCAGAGGTTGTCCAGTTCAGCTCTGCGTGCTTCTCTGCAACATGTCTGCACTGCCCCTCAGAGCCTCACGCTGCATCCCATTTCATGGACATTCCGTTCCCTCCTGCATAAGCTTTGCCAGGCCACAGGCACCAAACCTAAACTCATGACATTCTTCTCCCAGCAACGTTTACTCCTAACCCAGGTCCCCACATAGCTGGGTTCTTGCTGGTTCTCTCTCCTTGCTCAGATGGCCCATGGGGGTTGCACACAGCCCTGGGCTGCAGGCACCTCCCCTGCAGCTCTGGTGAGCTCTGCTGCATGGGAAGAGACCAGGCTAGCCCAGAAGCATCTCACTCCCTAGTTCCCAGAAGCACCTGTGGGTCCAGCACCAGCCCCTCCTTCCCCATATCTTCACATCTCCCCCTACTGCAGGCTACACAGGGGACGGTTGCATGCCCACCCTCCCCATGGGGGTTAGGGAGGGCAGAAGTCCTGTTCGTCCCCTCTCCCCTCTCCCTTCTCCCTTCCTCCTCTGCCCCAGGGCATGAAAGGCTAGTTGGGTATCTCACCTCACGACCTTCTTCCACCTCTGACTTCTCCCTTTGCATTTTCAGCACTGTCTCCAAGCAAAGGAAAAACGTCATCAGCTGCGTCACGGTTCATGACTCCCCCTACTCCGACTCCTCCAGCAACACCAGCCCCTACTCCGTGCAGCAGCGCTCCGGGCACAACAATGCCAATGCCTTTGACACCAAGGGGAGCCTGGAGAATCACTGCACGGGGAACCCCCGAACCATCATCGTGCCACCCCTGAAAACCCAGGCCAGCGAAGTATTGGTGGAGTGTGATAGCCTGGTGCCAGGTAATTTGGGGCCAGGACAGGACAGGAACACCTCCCTGGAGAGCAGTTTTCCTGCGTTTCTGCTGCTAGAAATGCTGCTGTATGGGAGCTAGTACAATGGAAAGTGCCAGTGGCTGCAGGCAAGCCTTACCCAGGACTCCACTCAGATAGCCAACGGAGGCTTCTGCTTCCCAGCACATTGTATAAGCAGCGTTTTCCTTCTTTAATTCCATAATCAACACCTCGCTGCCTTTACAATGGCTCTGCTTCCAACTAGGTTGATTAATAGGAAATAAAAGCTGTCTTGTTCTTTATCCCCCCTCCTGGAAGGATACCTGGTCTGGGGAGTTCCTGGCTGACATCTAGCACCACTCCCTTTCAAGAAGCCCTGGTGTTTGGGTGGGCTTCTTGTGTAGGAGGAACCTCCTCCGAGTCTTGCTAGGGGAGGCTGAAATCGGCCCCTCTCAGCTGCTCCTCGAAATCGGCTGCAGGGAGACGAAACCAAGCCGTGCGTGTTTCTCTGCTCACGCGCTGCTCTCTTCAAAGGACTCCTCCTGTCCTGCGAAGGCTTGTCCTGAAAATTGGGCCCTGGAGTAAAAGCTGCGAACGTAGCCTTCTGAATAAACTCAGCGGCTCACCGTAGATTTTGGAGCATCAGTTTAGCGTTTCCCTTGCTCATGCTCACAGTGGAAGAATGTAGAGGCTAAACCAGGAGAAATCTGCACGTCCCGCTGCTCTGCCCCGAGCGGCACCCAAGCCAGTCTGCACCTTCGTGACGGCGCAGCTGCAAAGGGAAGGAGAGGGAACACCAAGAAGCTTTGTCTCGGTGTGAGGAGCTGTCACTTCTCAGGAGGACCTCCTGTCTGTCACCTGAGGTCGCTACAGGAAACTGGGAACTCTTCCTTGGTGGTGGCCACATGCAAGGCCCAGTGGGCACAGGCCCCATTCAGGAGCTGCCACTGTGGCTGAAGAGTGGAGGCAGGCTGGAATCATTAGGGCTTTCCAGCGCAGCGCCTCAGGCCAGCCCGCATGGTGAGGGTCAGCGCCCCGGGACGCTCTCCCAAAAGCTCCCGCATTGCCTGCAATGGGGCCCCTTCTGCTGAGAGGCTCTGCCTGAAGGGGAGACGGTGAGAGCCGCAGGCTCGTGTTCCCTGCTGCCCACTTTCCAACCCAAGGCAGCATCACCCCTTCCAGCATTTGTGTCGGAAGTTCTTTTTCCCTGACTTTGGGGTTACCCCAGCTACCTTTCCTCTGAAGAAATGCTTGTGAAACGCAGCAGCTCAGCACCCTGCTAAAGCTTCACTTTCAAGCCCTGGTCCGTCCCCAGCAGTACCAACTAGACTGTGCAGCTCCTGGCAGCTTTGACGTCAGAGCCAGCGCTCCTGTGGGCCCAGGGGCAGGGGGTCGCGGTGCCCGCAGTGTTCTGGCTGCTCCACGAGAAAGACGCATGAGGAGCACGCAGCTCACACTGCGCTCTCTCAGAAGAAGGAGACCTTCCCTTCAGGAAAATGGAGCCACGGCAGTGCCATATGCCAGGGCGAGCCTTCTGGTTGACAGGGGTCAGACTGTACTTACTGCTAGGGTCTGGTGATCTGAAGCCCAAGAACCAGGCTGGAGCCCTCCCAGAATTAAGCACCTATGTGAAGAAAAGAAAATAAAGCTGGCCATTCCACAAGACCACAAAGACATCCCTCTCCAAAAACCATCTTTTTTCTACCCAGGCAAATATTTTGCTGGAACCCCTGCCGGGAAGCAACATTATCTAGCAGTAACCAAGGGCCCCTGGAAGGCACCCAAAGTCATTTGCACCTGGAGCCAGGATTCCTTACAAAGAGAGAGGGGCATACTTTCCAGCTCAGCTAGCCTTTAAATACTATTTAAAGCTATATGCAGCACACAATTTTTAAGTTTAAGTATTTGCAAGGGATAGAATTTGTCTTGCTGTATATTGTAACATTATTTAAGTTATTTAAACATATGTGTGTGCAAACCTCGAAGCTGCAGACTGAACTCATTCCACACGCGGGAAGTGCGGCCTGTGCCTTCGAGAGCAGGGGCATTCCTCGTCGGGTGCCTGCCCTTTCCCAGTCGGTGGCGTTCGATCCTGATACACACCGTTAGCTGCAGAACCCTCCTAGGCTCAGAAAAGTCAGGAAAGCAGCCCTCCTCAGCTCCCTGGTGCCCGGTGGTGTGTACAGACCAAGGTAGAACCGGTGGCTACTCCCTCAGCTGGAGCTCCCAGAGTGTGGGAGAGTTCAGGGTTCCCCAGCCCACCTAGGCCAGGATGCGTGCTGCCATCTCACCACCATGCCCACCCCCGCCTGTGGCTCTCAGCCTTTTAGTCCTTCTCAGGTTGGGGTTAGTGAAGTTTCTTTTGGAAGCAGCAGAATGAACTCTGCACTGGCTTAAGACAACTTACTGGAAGGATGCAGGGCTGAGGGAAAGTTCAGCAACTAAGTCCCAGGCAGGGCAGGAGCCAGAACCTCAGAGGGCCAGAGACCTGCTCTCTGACGCTGTCTTCACTCCACTCAGCCAGCAACTCCCATGCTTCAATTCCCATTTCCAGGACACTAGAATTGATTTTCCCAGCTTGGAGAGACACCTGGTTTGGTTTGGTTTAGCAACCTCCGCCTCGGGTTCAAGCAGTTCTCCTGCCTCAGCCTCCCAAGCAGCTGGGACTACAGGTGTGTGCCACCACACCCGGCTAACTTTGTGTTTTAGTAGAGATAGGGTTTCACCATGTTGGCCAAGCTTGTCTTGAACTCCTGAGCTCAGGCAATCCACCCGCCTTGGCCTCCCGAAGTGCTAGGATTATAGGCATGAGTCCCTATGCCTGGCCAAGACACCTATTTTTTGAGCCTCAGCTTTAACCAGGAGACAGAGTTCAACAATGATGCCAACAAGGGCTAACACTTCTTAATTACTTAAGTGCCAGGTACTCAATACTTGAGCCCTTAGATGCCAGATACTAAGCATTCTACATGTTTTCAGCTTTCTATTTTTTTTTCCACATTGAGTCCTCAAAAAACCCTCCATCCCCTAGGTTTCAAGGGACCTTTAAGTCTAACGGGTTTGGCTTGGACACAGTGTTGGGTCTCAAGGCTCTGATTCTCAAATGCAGGTCTGCTCAGCCAGGGCCAGGTGGCTCTGGAGTCCTGGGAAGCTTGCTGAGAATACCGATTCCAGATTCCCCGCACCTACCCAAGGAATTCTGATTCAGTGGATGGGGCGGGAGGGGCTCCAGGTGCAATTGCACGTCGGATTTGGGGCCTCTGAGTAGCACCCACTGCTTCCATCCCCACTGAGGCACCTCGCCCTGTACACCCTTGACTAAGGCAGGCGGCTCTATGGGGTTTGGGGTCAGGAAGGCCCCCTTCCACCTGCAGTGTGCATCAGAATCTCCTGTCCCCAGGTTTAGGATTTTCCTTCTACCTTCTTGGGAGGCTGAGACCTCTAGAGGCACATTTCTCTCTTCATCAGCAATTAATCAGCATTCGCTCTTGCTGGGCTCCAGCCTCAGGCATCTCCTCTCTGACTTTGATTTCATTGCCCTGGGATTTGTAATAGAATTGATCCAACCGAATTCAGTCAAGGGCCTGGTCGTTTCCATGCATGGCTCATTAATGTTTAGCACCCTCTGCCCCAAGAATGACCAGATTCTCTCCTTTCATACCACCACAGGATGCTTCATTGAGACAGTAGGAACCTTCGTGTTCACCTAAGATGCTCAGGCTCCGAAATGAGTGCTCTGAATTCTTGCTTCTGAGCATGAGGGCAGACCTGTCTTTGAGCATCTTGCAATATGTTCTTGCTGCTTCTCCCTTAATATGAAACACTTTACCCGATTCATCATTTGAACACCTCTACTTTGGGCAACTTCCTCAAATGTGGACAGCTTTAGAGTTGGGGCTCTGTGGAAGGACAGCACCACGTTTTGGCAGGTGACTGGATTCCCTGGCCAAAGCTCTTTCCCATACACTGTTATTTCATCTTTCCTCTCCTAGGGCTTTTCACGCTTTTCAGTGTCATCAAGCAGTAATCCTAAAGTCCAGCAAGGTTTCCAGAAAATATAAATCACAGAAATATAGCTATCCTCAGCCAGGCATGGTGGCTCACGCCTGTAATCCCAACATATTGGGAGGCCACAGCGGGTGGATCACCCAAGGTCAGGAGTTCGAGACCAGCCTGGCCAACATGGCGAAACCCCGTCTCTACTAAAAATACAAAAATTAAAAAAAATAAATAAATAAAAATAAAATAAAATAAAATACAAAAATTAGCTGGGGATGGTGATGGGAGCCTGTAATCCTAGCTACTTGGAAGCTGGAGAATCACTTGAACTCCAGGAAGCGGGGGTTGCAGTTAGCTGAGATTGTGACACTGCACTCTAGCCTGGGCAACAGAGTGAGACTCCATCTCAAAAAAAAAGAAATATAGCTGTCCTCCATAGAAAGTCAAGGTAATAAAAATATTTCAAGCACATTCCAGAAATTTAATGAAGAAAAGTAACTGAGTACAAGATACAACACATAAAGTGCTCAAATCAACAAAGGACAGTGGAAAGGAGGTCACTCATGACCTTTCTCTCTTAAAATGTGCCCCCTTTTCTCTGGGCAAAGCCTTCCTCAGTCTGGTTCTTAGACTAAGAATTGGTATCATGGCTGGATACAGTGGCTCACGCCTGTATTCTCAACACTTTGGGAGGCCAAGGCAGGCAAATCACTTGAGTTCAGGAGTTCACAACCAGCCTGGATAACACGGTGAAACTCTGTCTATACTAAAAATACAAAAATTAGTGGCTAGGCATGGTGTTCACACCTATAATCCCAGCACTTTGAGAAGCTGAGGTGAGTGGATAACAAGGTTAGGAGTTTGAGACCAGCCTGGTCAATATGGTAAAACCCCATCATCTCTACTAAAAATACAAAAATTAGCTGGGTATGGTGGTGGGCGCCTGTAGTCCCAGCTACTAAGGAAGATGAGGCAGCAATTGCTTAAACTCGGGAGGCGGAGGCTGCAATGAGCCGAGATCACACCACTGCACTCCAGCCTGGGTGACTGACCAAGACTCCATCTCAAAAAAAAAAAATCAGTATTGTCCTTGTGCACATCTCACCCCAATAGGGACTGGATGCCCAAGGAGGCGGGACAGCCCCCAGTGCCAGCGCCAGGCTCTCATTCACTCCCTGGTCTGCCTTGCCCTTCTTGGTGGGGGACTATCTGCCTTTTCGCCCAGATGTTTTCTTCTCCATTAACTGTACTATTCTTTCGCTCTTAAGGAACAGAAGCAATGCTTGTTGTAACTGGTTTCAAACTATACAACACAAACCACAGTCTTCGGGCTGTTTTGTTGCAGGCTTCACTTACTAAACCCCTCTTTTTCTGCTCCCATTGGCATTGAAGTTAGAGAAAGGTGTCTGGAATTTTCTCCCTCCCACACTTGCCTAGGCTGTTAAACAGGTTTGCTCTTAAAGAAGCCCAGTGTCAGCCAGGCGAGGTGGCTCACATCTGTAATCCCAGCACTTTGGGAGGCCGAGGGCGGGTGGATCACTTGAGGTCAGGAGTTCAAGACCAGCCTGGCCAGCATGATGAAATGCAGACTCTAAGGACTTGGGCCTCCTACAAGCCCAAGTCCTCCCAGCTACTCAGGAGGCTGAGGCAGGAAAATCACTTGAACCTGGGAGGTGGAGGTTGCGGTGACCCGAGATCGTGTCATTGCACTCCAGCCTGGGCAACAAGAGTGAAACTCTTGTCTCAAAAAAAAAAAAGAATCCTGGTGTCTTCTCACTAGTTTGGGTCTGTTTGTTGCTTTTGCCATTACAAAAGTGCTTGCATTTAATGAAGGGCTATGGCCGGTGCATTTGATTTGAAAGTTCATTTAGTTACATATTAATACTGCGCTGTATGTTAGGCGGCCCCCTCCTGGAGGAGAGCTGAGGCACAGGGACGGGGAGAGGGGGGTGGCTAGTAAAGCATCTCTTCTGCTTTTATCAAGAGCTGATGGTCCTTCCAGCAGAGTTCTCCCAACCAGGGTGGGGAGATGGCCCCCACCCGGCAGCAGAGCTCCCCCACTCTGGGCTAGTTTCTTACGCCCTGTCCTGCTCTGCCCTGCTCTGGCGGCCTCCCTAGACTCGGCCTGTCCCTGCCTATCAGCTTCTTCACCTGGTTTATCCTCTGGTCTTGCCACCTCATCTGCACAATCTGTGATGCCTCCTCCTCATTCACGCTCTGAGCCTTCTCCCTGCCACCCTCGTCCCCAGTGCTACACAGTCATTGTCCTTGGCACACAGCAGGAGCTCAGAAAATACTTGTTGAATGAGTTCAAACCACTGGGCTCTGAAGAAGCTCCCGTGGCTCTCTGGCTGGGTAACATGGAAGCCATCCAGCTCAGGGTTCAACCAGCCTCTCTCAGAGCCCATGGCTACTCAGAGTGTGTGCCCACTGAGCAGCAGCATTGGCATCCCCAGGGAGCTTGTCAGAAATGCAGATGCTCAGGCCCCCCAGAGCTGCTGGCCGGAGTCTACACTGAACAAGATGCAGGAATTACATTTGGGAAGCGTTGGTGGAACCACCTGCTGACCATGAGGTCACCTCTGGAGGGTCGCAGTGTTTGTTCCACTCTTCAGTCCTCCCGGCAATAACATGGAAGCAGTTTTGTGCTTGGCGATATTGGGCTCACAGGGCCATTCCCTGGATGACTCAGTCCTCCTGCCTCCAGGCAGGTAACTAGACCAGATGACTGTGAGGGTTATTTTAGTTTCTCTTGTTCATTAGGTCCCACCACAGATGCTGTCTTGGCTCCTCTGATACCCATAGTCACCCATGGTGAGGACCAAGCAGGGCTCCTGTCTTAGTCTATTTTGTGTTGCTGTATCAGAGTGCCTGAGACTGGGTAATTTATAATCAATAGAAGTTTATTTGGCTCACAGTTCTAAAGGGTGGAAGTCCAAGAATGGGGTGCCAGCATCTGGCGAGGACCTTTGTGCTGCATCATCCCAGGATAGGAAGCAGAAGGGCAAGAAAACATGAGAGTGAGGGGGCCAGACTTGTTTTCATCAAAAAAGCCAGTCTCTTAATAGCTAAGCCACTCCTGAGATAACCACGTTAATGCACTGATGAAGCCATACACTTGTGAGCGCTCTGCCCTCAGGACCTAACATCCCTTACTGGCCCCATCCTAAACACTTGCATTGGGGATTGAGTTTCTAACACAAGAACTTTGGGGAACACATTCAAATTATAACCGATCTCTCCCACCCACTTTCCAGATGCTGGAAGTAACACCTCCCGGAGGAGCAAGATTGGGTCTGGCCTTAGGCCGTGGCTCACTTTGCCTCTCCTGAGTCTTTTCTGCTTTTCCATGCTTCATCCCCTTGTGCAACTTTGACCACCCTCCCAGCTGCGGGAGTTGGCCAGAGCCCCACTGCATCCAGAGTCAAGGCAAAGTTCTAGTGGGTCCCAGGGAGATGAGGCTGATTTGTGAGTGCCTGGCCTCAGGGACTTTTTTTCCTAGAAGACCACTGATATCTGGTGGGGTAGCATCTTCTGGGTAGCTGGGACCCCGCCACTGATCTGACTTCTTTTTCCTCCTGCCACAGTCAACACCAGTCACCACTCATCCTCCTACAAGCCCAAGTCCTCCAGCAACGTGACCTCCACCAGCGGTCACTCTTCAGGGAGCTCGTCTGGAGCCATCGCCTACCGGCAGCAGCGGCCAGGCCCCCACTTCCAGCAGCAGCAGCCGCTCAATCTCAGCCAGGTGAGTGGCACAGCTGGTGCCTCAGGCCAAGCAGAGCCCCAATGCCCTCATCCTTCCGTTTCAGAGAGGATCATTGTGGCAGCCCCTCACCCACCTCACGAGCCTGCAGTCCTACCCATGGGTGGCACCACATGCTCCTGGTGACCTCTGGTGGCTTCTTCCACCGCAGGTTACCCTTGGGGAAGTTAATATCACTGGTGCACAGAGAGCTGGGCCCAAAGCAAAGTGACTTGTCCAATGTTACAGAGCCCTTAGTGACATGGAGCTTAAAAATAGGATGGCCCACATATTGCTGTTTCACCCCAGCAAAGGGGAGAGCACTGTGTGCCGGCCCTGTTGGCCTGCGACACCAGGGACAGACCTGCATCCAGCTCATCAAGGGAGGGTCACACACCACAGCCCCCAAGGCAAGGGTAAGAGCAGTCCTAGGACTTGGAGGAAGGTGGGTGGGTCAAGGTGAAATCTGAGTGACCCAAGTTTCTGCCGGTGCAGGGCTGTGTGAAGGGCTCAGCATCGGGCCTGACTCACACAGTGGACTCAGGGCCCTGTTTCTCTAGAAACTACAAGGTGAGGCTGGGCACAGTGGCTCATGCCTGTAATCCCAGCACTTTGGGAGGCCAAGGTGGGCAGATCATGAGGTCAGGATTTCGAGACCAGCCTGGCCAACATGATGAAACCCCATCTCTCCTAAAGATACAAAAAGTTAGCTGGATATGGTGGTGGACACCTATAATCCCAGCTCCTCTGGAGGGTGAGGCAGAAGAATCGCTTGAACCCGGGAGTTGGAGGTTGCGGTGAGCTGAGATCGCACCATTGCACTCCAGCCTAGGTGACAGGGCAAGACTCTGTCTCAAAAGAAATAAAGAAAGGAACTAGAAGGTGAGATAAATGGGGCGTTTGTGTTGAGAGCCCCTCACCTGAAGTGCTGCCCCGGGTGGTAAATGGAGCCCGTGTCTGTCACGTGACTTAGGTGTTCCAGGTAGGAGAGCGCTGTTTTATTTGGACTGACAGAACTTCAAACAGCGAAGCTTCCAAGAGCCCACTCTTTTTGTGTGAGCCAGGGTCTTGTTCTGTTGCTCAGGCTAAAGTGCAGTGGCACAGCCGTGGCTCACTGCAGCCCCAACCTCCTGGACTCAAGTAATCTTCCCGTCTTAGCCTCCTGAGTAGCTGGGGCTACAGGCATGAGCCACCACTCCCAGCTAAGTTTCAAAAATTTTCGTAGAGATGTGAGAGCCAACAATTTTGAGAACAAGATTTACAGAGAGTAAGAAAGCAATTGCTGCTCAAAGAGGGTGTCCTGGCCTGGTGCAGTGGCTCATGCCTGTAGTCCCAGCTTCTCAGCAGGCCAAGGTAGGAGGATCACCCTAGGCCAGGAGTTTGATGCTACAGTGAACTAGGTTTATGCTACTGCACTCCAGCCTGGGGCATCCTGATACGCCACAGCTTCTGTACATCCTTGGGAGAAATATTTTCTCCTGTAGCTTTGCAGCTGGCTTTATCCCTGTATCCTCCCAGCCTGGTGAGTGGTAAGCCAAGTGGGGACTTTCTCAGTCCAAATGAAATTTTTTTTTTTTTTGAGACGGAGTCTCGCTCTGTCACCCAGGCTGGAGTGCAGTGGTGTGATCTGCTCACTGCAACCCCTGCCTCCCAGGTTCAAGTAATTCTCATGCCTCAGCCTCCCGAGTAGCTGGGACTATAGGCACACGCCACCATCCCCAGCAAATTTTTTTTGTATTTTAGTAGAGATGGGGTTTCGCCATCTTGGCCAGGCTGGTCTTGAACTCCTGACATCAGGTGATCCACCTGCCTCGGCCTCCCAAAGTGCTGGGATTACAGGCGTGAGCCACCACACTGGGCCCCAAGTAAATTTCAACTTTCAACTAACACAGAAGGAAGCCCCTTATGTCACTTCTGGCGTCTTTCCCTTCTCTTCCTCCTTCCTGCCCTCCCGTTCCTCCTCCCACTTCTTCCAACCCATGTGCCCCGGCCCCTGATGTCTCTCTTGTTGCCTCTCTTCCCCAGGCTCAGCAGCACATCACCACGGACCGCACTGGGAGCCACAGAAGGCAGCAGGCCTATATCACTCCTACCATGGCCCAGGCTCCGTACTCCTTCCCACACAACAGCCCCAGCCACGGCACTGTCCATCCCCACCTGGCTGCAGCCGCTGCCGCCCACCTCCCCACCCAGCCCCATCTCTATACCTACACCGCGCCTGCCGCCCTGGGCTCTACCGGCACCGTGGCCCACCTGGTGGCCTCGCAGGGCTCGGCGCGCCACACCGTGCAGCACACTGCCTACCCAGCCAGCATCGTCCACCAGGTCCCCGTGAGCATGGGCCCCCGGGTCCTGCCCTCGCCCACCATCCACCCGAGTCAGTATCCAGCCCAGTTTGCCCACCAGACCTACATCAGCGCCTCGCCAGCCTCCACCGTCTACACTGGATATCCACTGAGCCCCGCCAAGGTTAACCAGTACCCTTACATATAAACACTGGAGGGGAGGGAGGGAGGGAGGGAGGGAGGGAGAGGATAGCCCGAGGGAGGAGGGAGAGGAGGAGAAGGAAGGCGCTCCTGGGACCTTGGGCGCTGGCCTTTTATACTGAAGATGCCGCACAGAAACAATGCAAACGGGGCAGGGGCGGGGAGGGGAGGGGGGCGCCAGGGGCCAGGACGGGACACCAGTGAAACTTGAACCGGGAAGTGGGAGGACGTAGAGCAGAGAAGAGAACATTTTAAAAAGGAAGGGATTCAAGAGGGTGGGAAATCTATGCTTTTTATTTTAAAAAAGAAAAAGAAAAAAAAGAAAAAAAGAAAACGTCAATAACAAAAAAAAACACACACACAGCTCAAGAACCCATTCTACACCAAACTGGAAAGGAGAAGAGAGCACCAGGAAGATTCCAGAAGCCGGGGTGGGGGGGCCAGTTTTTGAAGAACTTTATGAACTTTTCAAAGATTATTTTCATATGACAGCAAGTGATATGGAAGACTTTGCTGTCAGGGACACCTGATATGGAAATCAAATAGATTTTTAATTAATTGAACATAAGATTTAGAGATTTTTCCAGAACTCGAAAGAGTCAACAGCCCTCCAGAAGGTCAGGCTGCAGTCCGAGGAGGCTGATGTGTGGGTGGTGTGGGATTGTCCCAGATCCCGGGAAAGAAGGAGCGGGTCAGGCTGCTGGAAGGGCCCCAGGGTGCGAGGGGCGGGTTTTCTCTTTCTAAGCACTCTGGATAAATCCCTAAACAGTGTTGTCCCTCAAATGTCATTAATAATGTGTGTTGCAAACTTTAGGTTTTTTTCTTTTCTGAAAATGTATTTTCTCTCTGAATCCACCCCCTGTCGCGTCGCGTAGGGCTAGCGGTAGTCACGGACACCCTAGTAGAATGTAGCACCTGGCACCCTTGTCTCCTACCTGTGTTCAACTCCAATGATACCAATAGAATATTCCTCAATGTAATTGCACAAAAAAAAAAAGCGATATAACATAGGCATGTAACCAATGTGACGGTGCAGGCGTGCGGTGAGTGGGCGAGCGTGGGTGGGTGTGCGCGCCGCCTTCCCCGTGTGCCCCTTGGCGCCGCCACCCCAGCTGGCGCAGTCTCGAAACTGCATCATTCCCTCCTAGTGCCTTACCGAGCGATAGACGCGGCGTGAGGGTTTACTTCCACTGGTACTCCAAGAAACTGAGGCTAGTCAGACACAATCTCAGCTCTTCTGTTCTGCTGTTTTAACAGTTTACTCTGGCCTTTCCTTTTTTCTTTCTTTCTTTCTTTTAGAAATGTTAATGCCCATTGTCTTTCTTGGGCTGTTTGCTAGCAGAAGGATGCCAGGGAAGCCGGCAGGAGCTAGGAGAGAGTCCGTGGATCTTGAAAGAGATGTGGGAGGCAGATGCCAGGCGGGTGCGTCTGGAGATGGGGATGGCGGTAGTTGAGTTGTACTTTGTGGGCGGAGGCCCAAAGAGACTCCCCACGCTTCACCCCTGCCCCACTCCACCAGCTCTGCCATTTGTGAGGGCAGAGATTTCTGGACTGTTGGCCTCACCAAGCAGCGGTCTCACGCCCCAGGCAGCATCCCCCAATCCCTCCCTCCACGAAAGCCTGGAGCTCTCAGCCTCCCCGGCGTGCTCCACTGTTTCCTTGCTCCCTGGGCTGTTTAGCTCTAAGGATCTTGCCAGACCCCTCCCTCTGTAGACGACCACCAACCTCTGTTTGCTGTTGAATTCTCTCCTCACATTACCCAGGTCTGCTCAAGATGTGATTTTGGTTTTGGTTTCTGAGGATTCTGGTGGGCAGAAGGTTGGAGGGACATTTTTGAGGGTGACCAGGGGTCTGACACTGCACTTTTGGAAAAACACGGACAGGTAAATTTCCAAAGAAATCCACCCTTTGTCCTCTTTGCACCTTTGATGCATTCTGGAAGTTTTCTCAGGCTTTGGACACTGCTGGAGGTGGAGGTGTGGAGAGTTGGGGAGTTCTCTCTGTTCATAGTAAATAACTGAAATATGTGAATGTGAATGGCAGGAGAATCTGGTCAAGGATAGGGCCGAAAAGGGTGGTTCTGTTTGCTTCTGATGCTGAGTCCTTAGCTGACCCCACAGCCAAGTTTCCAAGGTGCAAAGAGATCTTTCCTGAGTCAGCGGCCCCATCCTCATCCTCCCACCCTTTACTTCCTCACTCCGCGGTCTCCCTTAAGGATGACTGTGAAAGGTATTTTCCTAGTGATATCCAACCTAATTCAGTAACAGCACCGTTACTTAGCTCTTAGCTGTGAAATAACTCTGGAAACTTCACCACCCCAACCATAAATTCTTACTTACAAAGAAATAGCTCCCCAAACTGGAAACAACTTAGTCCAGGCCTCAGCAAGAAGGAAGGGCCCCATGACTGCTCGACACTGGGCACAGCTGGGCAGTCTTGCCAGGAGGCCACTGGAGGCTGAGCTGGCAAGAGGCCAGCAGCAGAGAGATGTCCTCCCTCGGGCTGTGATCAATATCATCTTTTTCCAGAGGTAGGGAAATGCAGCCCTCTGAGACTGCAGAAAAATAGTTCAGAGAGGGTGAGGGCTGCAAAGGCCCTGCCCCCGTCCCCGACGCCCAACAGCTGGGTCAGCCTGGAAAATCCATCTGTTAGGGATTTTTTGTGGCAGCAATAGCCCATCAGGTCTCATCCAGAGTTACAGGTCTTGGCTGCAAATGAGCCTCAGTCCACCTTACTGGAGAGCACCCCAGACTCCTGGGTACTCAGTTCCAGCCCTTTCTAGATCTGATCTTTTCAGGGGGAAAGACAGCTTGAAATGTTCTTTTCATTTTAAAGAAAATCCTTTTGTCTGCTTAAGTTGGAGGCTTCTTACTCTTCCACCTGACATTTTCTTTTCCTTCTTCCAGATCAGGAATAAAATTTCCATGCTGCTCATAAAGATAATATTATTGTACTAATTATTTTTGTTATTGCCATTGTAAGTATGATCATGATCATCATGTTGATATTTTAGTCAGGGTTTTAAATGCACATTTATTCCAAGTATCTTTGTGTTTTCTCCTTAATATTTAAACTTACTCTCTGTGAGTGTACAAGTAGACTGGAGGGACATCCAGATGTCTAGTCTTGTCAGGCAAAAGAACAGGAAAGACTTAGGAAGTAGGAAAATTGTGTCGTCATCACTCTCCCACAAAGAGCCGTCAATAAGATCCACCACAGAAGTTTAAAGGAGAATCAAAGCCTTGATTGGGCTTCTGACACCATGGTCCTCATCGAGGTTGTCCTTTTCTAGATCGCAGCAGCCTGGGATGTGATGTCAGGTGGCATCTCATGGTGACGTCAGGGGAATGCCAAGCCACTGACTGCCCAGTCCTTAGCTGGCTTCTCTCCCACATCTCAGCGCTCTCCCGTGCTTCTGAAATCTGTTAACTAAATCCGTGGCTTGCCTCTGATATTAAGCAAAAGTATCCCCTCCCAGAGGTGACCACAGCCCCTTCCTCAAACATCCACCCGTTTCTCATCGTCGCACCCGGGGTGTGGCTTAGATTCTTTAATGCAGAGACATTTTCCCCCTTCCAGAAGACAATGGGCATGTAATGTGGCATAAGAGTGACCTGGCAGGTGGTGCCTTCCCCAGGAAATTTCACCACACCACCCAGTTCTTCAGCCTGCCCCCTCCCCTGTGATACATGTTCCCAGCACCCAATTCTAGCCGGAAATGGGTGGAGGGATGGCAAGAGGCCAGAGAAACCCGGAACAAAGCCAGGCAGCTGCCCAGGCATTGCAGGCCATGCCCCCTCTGAAAGCATCCCCACTGGGTTCCGGCCACACCCCTCAGTGCATTGTGCTGTATGTGATGGGTGCTCACACGCTGTCCCCAAACCCACAAACTGCTAGGCCCCAGATGAAGAAGGGTGAAATGGCCGGCTTCACTGCAGGGAAGGGAAGTGAAGTATTGGGTGAGGCCAGCCCCACAGCCACTGAGCAAATGTTAGTGCACATTCTCCTAGTCCTCACCCAATGGCCTCCTCCAGCCCCATTCATGGAGCTGCCACATCAGAAGCCCCGGGAGAAGCTCCCTGCAGGAGAGGCCAGCTCCCTGTACGCTCAACTGCATACCTGCCTGAATCTGCCATTGGGTCACCTTGGCAAATAGGCTGCTGTCCCTAGGACCGACCTCTCAAGCAGAGGGATGCCAACCTAGTCCTTACTTAGCCCATGAATCACCTAGAGCATCCTCTAGTCTACTGTGGGCTCCCTCCTTCCCTTTTGAAGAAACATCGTTCAGAGTAAGGGGAGGATTTGAAAGTTCAGGTCATGGAGGAGTGTTGAACTGGAGCCTACTGAACTGCAGGGCGATTTGCTTCTGCTCGCTGGGTTCTGACTGGCCCATCTGGACGTGGACCCCCATGTCTCTGTGCTTAGGGCCTCTTCGTGATGTTTTGGATGTTTCCAAGGGAAGGGGGTGAGCAGATCAAGGGGTGGGAGAGTCAAGGCTTGATGCCAGTTAATACTGTGAAGTGGAGCGTGAGGTCAGTGGAATTCAGAGGAAAGAGAAGGGTCAGAGCAAAGCGACGTCCGTCTCCTGGACTGTTAACCTTTCTAGCCTTCCAGGTAGTGGAGGTGTTTGAAGGCTGTAGCAGCCAGCTGGCCTGTGTCCTCTTCAACCTGGAAGACTCGGCCTGCCCAAGCACCAACGTGTGGGACAGATGGACGTCAGGAAGGGCACGGGAGATCAGCCCAGCTGCCAACGGGACAATTTCCCTTGATTGGACCTTGGCAATGGCAAACACTCATATTTGAACAAGCTTGGGGTGGAAGATTTTGGCTGTGTGAGTGTGAGTGAGTGAGTGGAACAAACTTTCTTGGAAACTGGAGGGAAGAGATGAGGAGGCTTAGGGAAGTATTACTGATGGCTCACGGTTGAGAGAGCGACGTGGGGCCCCAGCTCGCCCCAGCTTTCACCCCAGGTTTTCTTTGTCTGATGCTGAGGGCAGGGTGGGGTGTGGGACCGCCACTGTTGCTGGCCTGTCAAGTAGCTGCTAGGATAGAAAATGGAAGAAGGAAATGGCTCGGTGCTCTCAACTAGCAGAATTCAAGAGAGACCAGGGTTCCTTCCACAGGCCAGCCTGGGACTTCACAGTGCCAGCAAGAGTGACTTTGCCATGACACATTCCAGCCCCAGGGACTTTGCCAGCTTCATTCCCCGTCTGTGTCTTTTCCTTCTGATGTGTTTGACAGCTTTCTGATGGGGAAGCTTCAAACTTGAGCAGGCCAGAGATGTCCTTACCAAATCAGAAAGGAAGGGGAAGCTGTTCCTTTCTTTAGCCAAAGAACCCTTCTCAGACGCCTCCCGAGATGGACAAAATGGCATTCCTCTCGTTCCTTTCCAGGCAATAATGACACCATTAGTGATGCAATTCCATTTATCTTTCTCTTTCCTCTCTGTCCTTTTTCTTTAAAAAAAAAAAAATGCATTTATTTCAAAACTGTGCTATTCCTTTAAGAGAAGTGGAGGGGAATCTTTCCATGCCGCTGTGATTGGGAGACTGGAGCACCATACCAGTGCGTGGGCTTGACTAATCCCAGGCCACCATGGGAGCAAGCGAAGCAGAGCTGCCGGGAGTTCAGCTGCGTCACCGGGTTGAGCATGCTGGGGCTGGGCTCGGGAGAGCAGTACTTTCCCACTGTGATGCCTTAGAACTCTCACTTCTCACCTCCACAGACCAGACTCGGTGCAATCTCAGGCCACTAGAGAATGGAAGACAGTGAAAGGGGGTTAAAATGCAAAAGAAACCTGTTAGAGGCTTTGACGCGGTGGCTCACTAGAGGGACACAGCATAGAAGTTTCTCATGTCTTTGTTGCAGATTCCTGAAGTTCAGAACTCAGTCAGAGTTTGCAGAGAAATGGCCCCTGCAGGGCTCAGGCCCCAGAACACCAGCACCAAAGAGGGTCTTCCTGATGCCCCTGCTGGACGTGCCCAAGCCTCTGAGAGCCCCTCATCTCAGGTCCCTGTGTTGAACCTGAGATTGACTGTCTCTTATTTGTTAAAATTTGCAACATCCCTCATGTAAATAGTAGCCATTCAACATGTGTTGAATGCTTTCAGGACGCCTGGGCCAAGGCCTCTATGAGTGTCATCTCAAGGGGCCCCCACAGCCACCCCACAGGGAGGGGGATAACAGCCCCCGTTTTCAGATAAGGAAGCTGACAGGACGCTCTGGAAGGGACAGGTATTGGAGGAAGGATAAAGCAGGGATGCTCCAGAATCCACTAGGTTCCCTTTTCTGTTAATCAGGCTCTTCCTGAGATGTGATTCCTAATCTTTTACTTTTTTTAATGAGTAGCAACGCGTGGCCTCATATGTCTATGAACCGTTTCTCCCATTTCCTGCGTGCCAAACACTGTGCTGGGAATTGCCCGTGGGTTGTCCTGTTTCATCTTCTCGGTAGCCCTGTGAGATCAGCAATATCAGTCCCCCTACAGCCAAGGAAAATGCCCAGAGCCACGCTGCTCGTGAGGGGCGAGGAGGGCTGGAATCTGGGTCTGCCCAGCTCCAGAGCTGAGCTTGCAGCCATTAGCCGCAGCTTTCTCCCGCGTGTCTGTGCAAAGAAAGGCCTTTACACAGCATCACCCGGTGCCATCACTGCACCGTGGGACTCAGCTGGAAGGCTGTGCAAAGAGGGGACTCCTGAATTGGATGTAGGCAAAAGGGAAGAATTAGTTTGACTTTTCGAGAAAATCTCTGGGGAGTTTCTTTTGATTCATAGTAGAATTCCTTTTAGATTTCTTTCCAGCATACCAACTAGCTTTTAGTAGTGCTGCTACAACCAACTCTTATAAGAGTGAAAAAGAAGTATTCTTTTCTTCTTTAAAAAATAGTTTTTTCTTGCTTACAGTTAATTCTAGAAAGGCAATACTAAAGGTATATATTTTTTTCTAAATGCTATTTTTTACTGCACTTGATAATTATCCTGTCAGCTCTGATCTCTGTAATAGATTCACTCTTCAGCTCTGGGCAGAACCAGAGGCAGGGTTCACACCAAATTTGTAAATATCATATGTGGTTCTGGTGTCCAGGAACTTTTTACGTTCTGTTAAAAAAAAAAAGGAAGAAGAAGAGGTGGAAGAAAGATAAGACTTAGAGGAACAAAAGAATGCTTTCTTTTGAGATAGATACTCTTCTTAAAGAAACAGCAACAATTGTATAAACAGGAAAACCAGCCAGCTTTCATGATAAAAAGGAGTGTCTCTTGCCCTGGTATGAGATTAACAGAAATACAGATGCATCTTTGTTTTGGTTGAAAGGTGGTGAGAATTTAGAAGTGCTTAGGACTAGATTTTTACTTTTTTAAAAGAACTATTATCATTTGTTATGAAATATTTGTTTGGTTGTTTTGAGTGGGTTTGTTGCTTTTTTCATTTAAAACCTTCTTTGTTGACTGGCTCCAGGCTTGTTTGCCTAAATTCTTAGGTAGTTTACACGAGTTCTAGAATCTTTTAGAACTTTAACTCCATTGGAAGCAAACCCAACTAATCAGAGTTTGAGATCCTGGTTGGTTTCAATAGGTATTCTGGAATTCTGGCAGAACACCTAAAGATTTGTTTTTAGAAGGTTTTAGATACATTATCTTACACAAACTGTGACCTAATGGCAATAATTACCTCAAATGTGGGCATTCATCCTGGTTTTAGCCTTTTTTGAAATCCTGTAGCCAGCTTGATCTTGGAATTTAAAGACTATGAATTCTCTGTGGGCTGAAAATAATGATTATTTCATACCCCAGTGATCGTTGCTTAAGTGAATTCTGAAAATAGCTCATCTTTACAACAAAAATTAAACCAAGGAAGAGATTACTCTTTGTGTGTTGTACTCAAATGTGATGTTCAAATGCACATGTTAAATATATGTGTTTTTAGCTACTGTAAAATGCTGTTAGCCTTCTAAGATATCAAGAGAGTCACATTTTAAATGAGTAAACTAAACAATTGACTGTGGATACTTAAGCATATTTCTGGCTACGTTAAAGAGTTTTATAGTTTACATTTAAACTGGTACTTGTTAAAGAAAAGTTCTGTTTATAACTGACATCTTCAAACCCCAGCGAATGCCTCTTAGTTGGACGCCGTGTCTCCCCCAAGGCGGGTGTGTTGTCCAGACTCTTCTGTAGCCCAGCATGTAACTTCCCTCCGTATTTTTGGTTTCCATGTGAACTCGAGAGAATGTGAAAGGCAATCCAGATGGAGGGAGAAGGTGTGAGTCCGCAGCCTGGCCAAATGCAAAGCTCTCACACACATGGTATAAACTTGTGTTCAAGGCCTTCTCTCTGACATCTTGGAAGAGTCATTAAGAACAGATAACCTGGTTCATTGATTTTTGTCTTGACTGAATATTTAACTTATTAATAGATCCACTGGTTTCCAGGCACCAGACAGTAGAAGACACTGGGGTTCAGGTGACCGCGAGGGCACAGCCGCTACTTCTGGGCCATGGGTGATATTTTGATCGGTGTTTTGTAGGGGAGGACCATACACCCCTCCCTATTCCCGTGGTCACTGGCTGGGTTTTCCATATATCTGCTGTCATTTGTTCATTTTCCCCTTGAAAGCAAAATCAATGTAAAAGGCTGTGTTTCTGTTTTACTCGTTGTCCAGCTTAGACTCGAAGCCTAGTTGGGTGGGAGGGAGACCTTATCATCCTCTCAGAGACGGTCAGTGCTGAGCAGGAGGAGGTGGAGACAGAGGGGTGGCTCAGCCTGGTCCACTGAGACCTGATGTAAAGGGACACCATGTTTGGAACAAGAGAGATGCTTCGAGACGGGAATGGGCCCCACTGTCACACAGGAACAGACTCGGGGAATGGCAGTTTCTCTGAGTCTTGGTTTGTTTTGTTTTCTCTTTTGCCACCACCAAACTGCAGGGGACCTGCTGTGACCAAAAGGGCATTGCTTTAGCAGATGAGACCTTGAAAACTGCAAAACACCTGGGACCAGGGAGCTATTAAAAAATATAGAAAACAATGCATTTGCTTTTTCCCTATGAACTGCATCGACAGCGTGTTCTTTCGACAGTCTTTTGGTAGAATTGTTTCTGTAAAATAGTTTCCATCTCACTCTCCTAATCATACTCCCACTTCCCTGTTCGTGTGGTAGTGGTGGTGGTGTTTTTCCTTTACGTGAATTAACCAAATGAATTCTGTGTCATCGTCTTTGGAGCTTATATTTTTAAAACATAGAAATTGCCTTTTTGTTCATTTGAAAAGTAAGTACGTTGTATCTAAAAAGGGCTCTGCCTCTGCTCTCCCTGGCTTCTTTGTAACCAATATCCAAATGAATCTAGATCTCCCGGCACTGCCCCCTTCCTTATGTAGAGTCACTGTCCCAAGAGCCACCTCTGCCTCGACCTGCTGTCACCACAGCCCCGGCCCCAGGCACCCAGGACCCCCAGGAAGCAGAGAGCCCAAGAAGGCCCTACTCAGCCTTGAGGCTGGTGGCCACACCTCCCTGTCAGAGTCGCCTGCTGGGCAGAAGGGGCAATGGATTGTCATTGTGGAAATTTATAAGGAGGAACTTGGGAAGTAGAAAGTGGCTTGACCATGCGCATCCTTGGTAGCTTCCTGTAACTAATGAATGGGACAGATAATGCCCCCCCCACCCCGCCCCACCACCCTGCCCCTGAGCAGATATTCCTGTCTGCGCTGCCCTGAGTCCTTGGTCCCCTGTTTCTGCTCCCCTCCCTTTTGTGTTCCTGCTCACTTCAAGCTTCTTCCATGGACTTCCCAGGGCACAATCATCTCTGGCCCCCAAATCATCTTCATCCTCTCTGTGTACATTTTTTTAACCAAATGAAATAAACAAGAAAGTCATACTTTGGGGCAGCAGAATTTCTAGTTTAGTAGAATCACTGTATAGAGATAGATGTTGATATATATGTTTGTGTATATATATCAAACCAAATTTGATAGGAGAAGTATAGCTTTATGGATAAGGAGGAGGAGGAGCTCTTTAGAGGTCGGAGTCAGCATTGGCGTCTTGGACACACATGGGCCGTGTCCCAGGCCACTCCGCACACATGGGGCTGAGGCGTGGTGCCGGGCCCTTGTCATCCATATCACCACAGCAGAGCTGGCGGGCCCTGCAGGGTGCCGCTACTCTCACTGGGTCCCAGCTTCAAGGGCATCAATGGGTGATGGGGGCAACAAATCAGGATGACTGGAATTTTCCATCCCATTTTGCTTTGACCACATGTATTGAGCTGCAGCCTCTGATACACTATCACATTTCCAAAAATGGTATCCATTAGGATGGAAAGAGAACGGATCTGTAGAAATGTTTACCTTTCAACTGCCCATGAATTCAGGACACTGGATAGAAAGACTCACTCCCCAAAATGAGAACAGGGAAGAGGAGACCTGGTGACACTCTGTCACCGGGTCCAAGGAACGTGGCTCCCTCCCCACGGTCATCTCACCTAGATCTTTCTCTCCCAGGTCATCTCAGCTCAATCTCAATAACCCTATGAAAGCCCTGGTCTGTTGTGTTCCTTCACCGTATGGTTTCTGTAATAAAAAGTGTTAATCCATGTTAATCTATGTGAAAATTATTGCGTGCGACAGTATTTTCTTGTGTACCTCTTTTCCTATGTGAATTGTCCCTCTTTTTTATTTATAAATGTCTACTTTTTTTTTTTAAGACAAACCAATGTGTTGTAGACCTATATGTAACCTATTCCTTAGTCTCATATTATAGGTATGTTATAAGAATGGATATTTGACTTGGCTTTAGAATGTTTTACAAGAAAACTAATTCTTAACTGATCAAGTCCTTGCTACTAAAATGCTTGTGTTTTTCATCATGACGTCGTGTGCTTCTAAATTAATCATTTTCGTTGTAGAAAAATGGAGTGAATTTATATTAGTCTTGGAAACTAATAATAGCATTGTAAATTTATGAGATGATTTTAACAGAAAAAAATTATAGAAGAATATAGTTATTTTAATTGTAATATTACTAACTGTAGGGTGAGAAAAAGGGGGGTCCCGTTGTGGTGAACTATGTTATAGCTTGTTACTCACAGTTTTTTTTGATCATTTTTTCGGTCTCTGAGGTGAAACGACTTATTAATTAAAATTTGTAAACTCACATATGCATATTGTATATGTGTAGAAATGTAATCACACTTTGTCTTGGAATTACATTAAACTGTTTGAAATCACTGTACACCTGCCTGGCATGCTTGTTCATCCTGGAACCAGACCCATCATCAGAGGGAAGAGGTGATTGTTACAAGTAACATATTTTGGGATTATTTAATGCCTCTGGAAATGTGTAGAAACCACCACTGCATTGAAAATTTGCAGGGGGGTGGGCCTTGAGAGCATGCTACTACCAATTCCCCTGAGCAGGGCTACGAGTCTCCCGGCTTCCCACTGCCTCTTCCAAGCTGTGTCAGCCCCACCTGCTCCCAGTCTCTGTCCCTGACACCTAAGGTGTGGCTGTCACCTGCTGTCCTGGGAGCTTTCCAACATGCATCCTGGATCCTCCACACCAGGCCCTGCCCTCTCACTGGACACCATCAACACCCACAGCCTCATGGCTCGCTGGCCCATCGCCAGGGCCCTTGTCACTCTCCACTTGAGCTGTGTGCTCCACAGCCCCATCCAGACCCTGTGCCCACAGCAGCACCACTTCAGCAAGCCTAAGAAACTCCATAGCCTGCTGGGATCGGGGCTTCCCAGCCTTCTGACACTCTTTTTGTCTTAAATTATGGTAAAATATACATCACATAAAATCATCATTTTAACATTTTTAAGTGGACTACTAGCAACGTTAATTACATTCACGTTATTGTATAGCCATCATCAGCATCTATTTCCAGAATTGTTTCATCATCCCAAACACAAGTTCCGTCTCCATTAACAACTCCCCATTCCTCCCTCCACACAGCCCCTGGCAATCACCCTTCCTTCTACTCTGTCTCCATGAATTTGCCTATTCTAGATATTACGTGTAAGTAGAATCATGTATTTGTCCTTTTGTATCTGGCTTACCTTAGCATAATGTTTTGTTTTGTTTTGTTTTTGAGACAGAGTCTTGCTCTGTCACCCAGGCTGGCGTGCAGTGGCGTGATCTCAGCTCATCGCAACCTCCACCTTCTGGGTTCAAGTGACTCTCCTGCCTCAGCCTCCCAAGTAGCTGGGATTGATTACAGGTGCCCACTACCACACCTAGCTAATTTTTGTATTTTTGATAGAGACTGGGTTTCTCCATGTTGGCCAGGCTGTTCTCAAACTCCTGACCTCAGGTGATCTGCCTGCCTCGGCCTCCCAAAATGCTGCGATTACGGGCATGAGCCACTGTGCCCGGCCCACTTAGCATAATGTTTTTAAGGTTCATTCATGTTATAGCCATACATGAGAATTCCATTCCTTTTCATGGTTGAATAATATTCCATTGTATGGAGAGACCACATTTTGCTGATCTATTTATCTGTTGATGGACATTTGAGTTGCTTCCACCTTTTGGCTGTTGTGCAAATGCTGCTGTGAACACCGGTGTGTAAAAGATCTGTTCAAATCCCCGCTTTCAGTTCTTCCAGGTGTGGACTCACAAGGGAATTGCTGGATCCTCAACAATTTTAAGATTAACTCTTTGAGGCCCCGTCATTCTGTTCCCCACAGCAGCTATACCATTTCACATTCCACCAGCAATGCACAGGGGCCTGGTTTCTCCACCCAGCACTCAGACTGGCTTCCATGTCCAGTATTTTCAAGTCTGAGGAGCTCTGGGTTCCAAGCCCGCGGTCTTCTGTGCCTCTGGTTTGGCCAGACTAAACGCCACAGCTCTTGCCTCCACCCGCCTTGTCCCCTACACCTTCAGCTCCCTGCCCTTTTGCCTCCGCCACACCCCGACACAATGGCTCAGTGATTCTGCCATCCACCTCTGCTCCAAGGGCCGCTGGGGAGGACCACCAAGCCCTGCAAATGAGTGCCCTCCAGCCCCACCAGGCCTTCTGTGCCAGCAGAACTTCTGTGGCTAATGGGAAACACCACTCTCCCCAGGCCCTGAGCCCCACTCTCATGAGACCGCTACTCCCCAGGTAACACAGAGGTTCCGGCTGCTGGACACAGTGCCCCCAGCACCTCCTCCAGTCCCTGCACAGCTGCTCGGATCCCTTCAGCCATAGGGATGCTCCTCGCATCCTTTCCTCTCTCCCTAGGGCCTTTTCTCCTTCAAGCATCCCCTCCCTCTTTCAGACCTTCAGCCATATCTCCTAAATGGCCTTTAAGAATGAGTCTGAGTCCCCTCTCTGGGGAGCTTACCCTAATGCTCCTGACTAAGGCAGGCGGCCCTGGTCTCAGTTCCCAGCGCCTTGTGCATCGTTCTCATGAGGCCACACTGTCAACATTGCTTCCCTTCTTTTCCTTCCCCACAAACCCCTAAAATTCTTGCAGGTATCTGCCTTTCATCTGTTTCCAGGGCATCTATTATGACGCCAGGCACAGAGTGGGTGGTCAATGAATCATCGGGTGAATGAAAAAACCCCTCAGCCCACCTTCATCTGACCCCCATCCCACCTTTCCGCTCTCCAAATTCAGCACCTCCCAGAACTCCAGTAATAAAAACAAAACTCTGAATGTGGCCCACACTTCAACTCAGATTAAATTCAACTCAGCTAAAATGTAAACTACATAAAATCCATGCAACACATTTGGACAAAGCTTCAGAATTCTCCCATCATGCATTTTGTGATTTTTATGACAAATGCACGGACAGGAATCACATCGTGTGGAAACAGAAAGGGAGGTGGATCCTGCACACCAGTGAGGTACCAGTGGTCCAGGCCGGCATGGGGGCTCGTGTCTGTCATCTCAGCAATCTCAGCACTTTGAGAGGCTGAAGTAAGAGGATCACCTGAGGTCAGGAGTTCGAGATCAGCCTGACCAACATGGTGAAGCCCATCTCTACTAAACATACAAAAATTAGCCCAGTGTGGTGGCATGCGCAGCCACTTGGGAGGCTAAGGCAGGAGAATCTCTTGAACCTGGGAGGTGGAGGTTGCAGTGAGCCAAGATCACACCACTGCACTCCAGCCTGGCAACAGAGCGAGACTCTGTCTCAAAAAAGAGAGAGAGAGAGAGGAGTGGGTCAAAGGGGAGGCAGTGTAGCTGTATGCAAAGGAACCCACACCCGTGTACCAGAAAGTTGTTTAAGTCTAAAGGAAAACGGTAAACTTACTGTTGTCAGTATTTCCGTTAAGCATACTTAATATTTGGGTAACAAAAACGGTAAGCTGCTCACTGGAACTGTGTGAGTAGAAAGTGAAATTCTAGACCGCCCTATCCCTGTTTCCCAATGGAGCCAAGGCAGCCTCTAGAGAAAAACAAAGCAAACAATTGAATAGCACTGCCCTCACTTAGCAGCCAGGCTGTGGTGGTCCCTGCTGAAGCTTTGGCTCTAGAGGGGTTGCTCCTGCCTCACAAACCCCTCCTTGCTTTTAGGGCACATGGCCGGGTGGCAGCAGCTATGCCCCAGCCTTTTCCAAACAAGTATAAAGTTTTTTATGACCCTCTAGCTTCTGTATGTTTTCTAATCCTTTACTAGGATAGCTAAGTTTAAGCAAATAGTAAGTATAAAAGCAGAGCATCCATTAAAAGCAAAGTGTGGATGTGACACTGCTAGGGATGGATGTCCTCTTTCAGTTTCAGTCCCTCCCTTTTGCCAGCCTTTGGCTTTAAAGAAGGGATCTGGCCGGTTGTGCTGACTCGCACCTGTAATCTCAGCTACTTGAACCCAGGAGGCAGAGGTTGCAGTGAGCCCAGATCACGCCACTGCACTTCAGCCTTGGGGGGAAAAGCGACACTCTGTCTCAAAAAACAAAAGGAATCTGGGACCCTTTCTTTCACCTACCTCACACATTTTATATTCCACTCAGACCACGCAAACTTCCTCTTAGGAAATGTGTTTCCCACGTGGCTTCCCATACACCATCTCGCACTGCTTGAGGACGAAGAAAATCCACTGCTCAGCATCAGCCCCAACCCTCATTCTACACGGAAGACACCGATAGCTAGAACTAGACATTTCATCCAGTGTGTGGGGCCACGGGTTCCATTTTGTAAATGCTTGTCTTCCATGTACAGAGATCGCTAGAAGGCCTATGGTCCCTTCCTTCTACAGGGACACTTCTTTTTTTTTTTTTTTTTTTTTAGTTTATCATTTCCCTTTAAACAACTTTCCAGTGCACACGTGTGAGCTCCTTGGATACACAGGTGTGAGCGTGTGAGCTCTGTCGCCCGGGCTGGAGTGCAATGGCACGATCTCAGCTCACTGCAACCTCCGCCTCCCAGGTTCAAGCAATTCTCCTACCTCAGCCTCCTGAGTAACTGGGATTACAGGCACGCCACCATGCCCAGCTAATTTTTGTATTTTTAGTAGAGACAGAAAATACAATTATTTAGTATTGTTAGATGATTAGCTTCACCATCTTGACCAAGCTGGTCTTGAACTCCTGACCTCATGATCCACCCGTCTTGGCCTCGGATTATAGGCGTGAGCCACCACGCCCAGTCTAAAGCTTCTTAAAAAGTCTTTCCTGAGACTGGACATAATCGGGAGAGAATTTAAAAAAAAAAAAAAAAAAGAGTCTTTCCTAGGGCCAGGAGCAGTGACTCATTCCTGTAATCCCAGCACTTTGGGCAGCCGAGGCAGGCGGATCACCTGAAGTCAGGCATTTGAGACCAGCCTGGCCAACATTGCAAAACCCCATCTCTACTAAAAATACAAAAATTAACCAGGCACGGTGGCATGTGCCTGTAATCCCAGCTACTTGGGAGGCTGAGGAAGGAGAAACGCTTGAATTCAGGAGGCAGAGGTTGCAGTGAGCCAAGATCACACCACTGCATGCCAGCCTGGGTGACAGAGCAAGTCTCCCTCTCAAAAAAAATTAATAATTAATAATTAATAAAATGAATTAAAAATAAAGAGTCTCTCCTGGGCATCCTCCATCACAAAGTCCATCTGCAGGGGGGCTGTGTGTGTGCTCCGGCTTCTACAGCTCTCCTGCTTACTGGGATTGGGGCTCAAACCTGCCTCTGGAGCCCCTTCCCCAGCTCTGAGCTCCAAGGGCAGTCACCTAAAAAAGAAATAATCAGGCCGGGCGCCTGTAAGCCCAGCACTTTGGGAGGCCAAGGTGGGCAGAACATAAGGTCAGGAGTTCGAGACCAGCCTGGCCAATATGGTGAAACCCCATCTCTACTAAAAATACAAAAATTAGCTTGGCATAGTGGCACATGTCTGTAGCCCCAGCTACTCGGGAAGCTGAGGCAGGAGAATCACTTGAACCCAGGAGGCGGAGGTTGCAGTCAGCAGAGATCGTGCCACTGCACTCCAGCCTGGTGACAGAGTGAGACTCCATCTCACTGCCCAGGGGATGAGGAGTGAGACTTGGGGAGATGCGGTCCTATAGACAATCCTTGCTTGGGGGTCAGAAACAAGTGGCGTGTCTACCCTCAGTGCTGCCACCTCTAGCTGCTGAGAGCATAGCCTGGGGTGCCAAGGCCATGCAAACCAAGCCTGGTTCAGCCCACAAAGGAGACAGGGGCAGCCTGGCTGGTCTGTAACCTTTAGAAGGATTTCTGACATTTCTGAAGTTGGGTGTGCCAGTGTTTTGTTTTTATCTTGTACTTCCTTCATTGATAGAAAGCAAATAGAAGAAAATCTCAAAACATCGATGACCCTGGATCGGGGCACATGCTCTGCCAAACTGATTTAGAATTGTTACATGGTCCCAGGACAAATCTAAAGTTAGAAGAGCTTATTTGCCACTAGGCTTTAAAAGCTTCAGGCAGCAGGCTTTGGATAATTTAATAAAAAGTAAAACCCAGGCCAGGCACAGTGGCTCACACCTGTAATCCCAGCATTTTGAGAGGCCAAGGCAGGCAGATCACCTGAGGTCGGGAGTTCAAGTCCACCCTGGCCAATATGATGAAACCCCATCTCTACTAAAAATATAAAAATTAGCCAGGCACAGTGGCACTCACCTGTAATCCCAGCTACTCAGGGGGCTGAGGCAGGAGAATCACTTGAACCCAGCAGGTGGAGGTTGTAGTGAGCCAAGATTGTGCGACTGCACTCCAAACTGGGAAATAGAGTGAGACTCTTTCTCAAAAAGAAAGAAAGAAAGAATAAAATAAAACCTGAATGGCACAGGTTCCCCATCCCGTGCCCTCCCACACTGCTTCCCTGACCCACAGGGCAGAAGGAAAGCAGGGCTCTGAAGCCCTAGGCCAGGTGGCTCTCAGGAGCCTGGCAAGGTAGTTTACTCACCTTTGGCAGCGTGACCTGCCTCGGGCATTTCGGCAAGAATTAAGGGAGATGCCATATGTAGAGCAAAAAGCACTGAGGCTTTTGAACTTCGCCGTCTTTGAGGGGTGGATACTGGTGAGAACCACAGGCCTATCCATAACTGAGAACAGGCGGGACTGTGAGCATCCCGCCCGAAGCGGCAGCAGCTGACCAATTCCTCACCCCTCAGCCCCTCACAGCCACCCCTGCAGGCCTACCACCACCCTCCCAATTCCCTTAACTGCTTTATTGTATACCCAGGTCTCCCACTGGCTTCCCAGTGACAACAAAATCTAACACCACAAACCACCTCTATATTACAAACTACCTGGAAACCACGCAGCAAATGTAGCAAACTCAAGTTGGAGGTTTTGTCTGAAGACTGTAAAACCAGTACCAGGCCTGCGCAGAGCACAGCAGGACCCGGTTTCTCTCTCCGAGCTATTTTCTGAAAATGGGCCAGGACCCAAATGCACGCACTGGGCTCCCAGGCAGGCCACCCACATCTCATCCACCCGGGGGCATCAGGAGGCCAGAGAGGCCCAGGCTCCACTGCAGCTCAGTGCTGGAGCCTCAGATGTGTGTGAAGAGTGTGGAACCCCCACAGGCCCGAGGGCACTGCCAGCCAACCCCACACCCCCACCACCTCCTCCCCAGGCTCATCAAGGGGGACAGGAAGAGGCCATAAGACCTTCACAAGCTCTTTTCCAGCCCAATGTGAACACCACCTAATCCTGCCATTCACTTCATTCCATCCTGCCCTGGTGCAGAATAAACCAGCCCTTGACTGTGTTCCAGAATGTTCTAATTTTCTGAGGTGTTTCCTCTACTCCTTGTGTGCTTCTTGGGGGATAAGGCCAGAGATCCCCATGCCTGGTGTGGTGTCTGGCTTGTAGTAGGTGTGAATAAACATCTGTCATCTTAAGGTGACTAGCAATGAAGGAGCCGGCAAGGAGCACACCCCTCAGCCGTCTACGAATACCTTAAAGGCTTAGCAAAATGAAGTGATGCCCTGAGGCCAGAAGATGTGTTTTTTCATCCTCACACTGCTATCTGCTGCACTACAACAGGGGCATTTTGTGGTGGCCCCCACAGGCAGGCACCCAGAGATGTGCCCCTCTCTGCCACTCCCCAAGCTCTGACTCTGGAACAAATGGCAGCAGACATCTCTGGACGTGAGTTATTCACTCTTTATTCCGTTAGTGACCAATACAACAGCACCACGGACACAGCAGAGGCCCTGCCTGAGAACCCAGGCAAGACAAAGACGGGGGATGCAGGGGACCTCTGGGGCCCTGGGCTGGCCTGGCCTAGGAGAGCGGAAAGCTTTCCCCGCCTGCCCCTGCCAGCAGCCAGGAGAGAAACCACTGGGGAGGCGGGGCTGCTGAGTGGACAGTCAAACCACCTGCCAATGACCCCCCTTCCCCAGAGCACCAGGACTGCAGTGAGGACAGGGCTTCTAGGGGGCTGGAGAGAGATCTGTGGGGCGGCTCAGGGTGGACACTGAGCTTCAGAGGGGACAGTGTCTGTGCGTGCGTGTGCGTGTGTGTGTGTAGGTGGGCAGATGCCTACACTAGTTAGCGTATGGGATTTAACTGCTGAACCACACGACCTGCCTGGAGACAAAGAAGACCAGGAACCAGGGACTCAGAGCGCCAGGAAGAGGGGCCTGGGGCAGAGGCCACCCACCCCACTGCTTTGCCTTGCAGAGGGCAGGCGGCTCTGCTGGAGGCAGGTCTTGAGCAGACATCTCCCACAGGCCTGGGGGGAGGGGCCGCCTCTGGCCCCACCCACCTCACGTATAGGCCATCTTGCTGCACACCCAGGGCCGGGTCATCAGACACTCCGTCGACACTAGCCTGGTGGGTTCCACGAAGACACACTCCCCTGGACCTGCAATGGTGAACCTGTGGCCAGGAGAGAAGACCTGGAGTTTATGATCTGGGACATTCTGCCCAAAACCCAGTGGCAGGCGAGGCCGTGGATGCCCTGTTTCTCCCTCACTTCGTCACTAAAGCTGCCTTCTAGGATATTTGGGCCAACAGACTTTTCTAGCATGGCATCCCATTTTCTTCCTACTCTGTGCCCCGTAGCTCCAGGCACCCTGGCACACCAATCAGACATTTCCTGGACACACGTGCACTTCCCCATCCTGCCTCCATGTCCTTGCAGGGTCGGCTCACACGTCCCAGGCTCCATGGCACCCAGTTCAGGGCCACTCTCTCCCCCTCTCCCTTCCCACAGTTCCTTGCCTGCTCTGTGGGGAACTCTCACAGCCTCCTGGGGCCTCTACCTGTCTGTCCACACAGGTCCCCAAAGCAGCCAGCTCCTGAGAAGCAGGCTCTGTGCCCTCTCATCTTGGCTCCCTGCAGCACATGGGAGAAGCTCCACAGAGCTGACTGAAGTCAACCACCCCTCACAGGTTAGGGGCGGGCTGCAATCCCAAAATGGGCTAACTACAGCTCTATTGCCCAGGAATTCATTGACATCACACACAGAAGTGTGTGGTGGGAGGATTCCCCACTGCCTAAAATCACCCCTTTCCAGCCTCAGAGGTTTCTTCTTAGCCTAAGTCATTCACCTTGACCTCTGATCCCTACCAAGGCTGGAGGTAGACTCTCACAACAGAGGGCATTGGAAGGACCCCAAGAAGGAGTGCAAGGGGAAGGCCCTCCACAGTGTCTGAGACATGTGGCCAAAGACCCCCTGGTTGCCAGGTGGTCAGCATGCCACAGACCCCACCCTACAGGGCTCTGACAGCAAGAAGCTTCCAGAAAGGCAGGGACAGGGGTGGAAAGTGCAAGATCTCCACAGCCACTCTGAGAGAAGACCTGAGATGGGGACAGGAAAAGGAGCAAGAAAAGGAAGGGACACTGAGGCCAGAGTAAGGGGCAAAAATGAAGAGGGCTCGAGATAAGGAAAAGGGGGAGGAGGGGAAGCATGATGAATGATGCCCCCTGCCTCTAGGGATCCCATGGGTGTGACTGCCTAAGCCAGCTCCAGGTGGGAGGGCGGGTGATGGCCACCTGTGGCCACCAGAAGGATCCGAGGGTCTGAGATGCCCTCTGCTTTAGCCGCTGCCTTGGGGATGCTCACATGTCATCATCATCGGGTCAGGAGCTGTGTTCCCCACCCCACCCTATGCCCTCCAGCTGGCACCTCAGAACCTATTCCTCCAGCCACGGGGTCTGTTCTGTGGGTCCCACTCCCTATATGCACATCCCTGCATTTCTCTAGGCCTAGACCACTCCCTTCCCCATGCCCCACAGTTACCACCCCACTGCCACAGCCACACATCTGCCACCTGCTCCACCCATGACCGTCACTCCCACACCACACACCAGTCCTGGCATCACAAACTCACGTCCACACCACTAGAGCCTTACAAATACCGCCACGGCACACACCACCACCTCAGCAGTTCCCTCCTCCATCAAGAGATGCGTTTGCCAGGAAAATGTGGTCTAGAACACCCAGGGTGCCTGTCTTTAGATCCCCTTCCTTCCATAGCTACAGTGTTTAGGCGGCACGTGGCTGCCCAAGATGGAGGCACATCTCCCATCCTCCCTTGCGGCCAGGTGCAGTCATGTGACTAAGTTCTGGCCAATGGGGTGAGGCCATCCAGGGTCCTCCTTCCCGTTACCTGTCCCCTTCCGGCTGAATGGAATGTGGTTCCGCCACACTGAGTGGAGCCGATGAGCCCCAGGCTGCACAGATGGGAGACTCAGGGTGGAAGGACCCTGAGCCCAATACCACGAAGCTCCGATGGCTCCGCAGGGCAGAGCCACCATGCCAGGCTGGACTTTCATGGGAGAGGGAGAAGTTTAGGCATTTTCATGGCTGGGTCACTGGCACACACTGCTGGACCCGAGACTAGTATCTCTAGCTAGCACAAAACCAAGGGTTTCTCTCTCCTGGAGTTGTGTCCAAGGGGTGGGCCAAGACTTCCTCAGTCTAAGCGCAGTGACCAGAAGATGAAGCCTCAGCTCACGTGTCTGGATCAAATGGGTCCCCGTTGACCCAGTGGAATTCATCTCCAACTCTGCGTAGTCCAATCCAGGGCTCCCTCCGTGTGAACTTGAACATAAATTCCTGCACCAGGGAAAGAGGGACACCTCAAGGTCAGATGTGGTCTCCTGACTGGCGTCACATCCCAAGACAAACCTGTTTGGAAGATACTGGCTCTTGGGATGTACAGACGCTGGGAGGGTGACTGCTGTCTCGCCGCATCCCGAAAGTGAGGAGCTAGGGTTACAGGATCCTCTGCAGTCACGCTGCCAGAGCTCGGCTCCAAGCCACTCGCTGACCTCACAGCAATTGCCTCCGACAGCTTGAAAGGGACCCTGGTTCTGTGTGTGCCCACTGGGCCAGGAAGGCCGTACAGGGCTTGTCCTCCTAGCTCAGCAGGCCAGCATTCCTGATGTGCAGGAAGCTTGGGGATTGTCGACTGGATGGCTGATCTGGGACAAATCTCAGTGCTCAGGTTGGTTGTCTTACCTGCATTTTTCTGGGACTTTCTCTGCAGATTGGGGATATCTTACTGTGTATCAAAGGCAAACAGAGGTGATTTTTAGATTATCTTCTATTTCAGTTAGCACCACTGTTAACCTCAAAATCCAAAATTGCCAATAGATTCCATTAATTGTGTTTCCTTCACATTTCTGTTGCTAGAACTGTTTCGGATGTTAAATGGAGACCAAATCCCGATTTGGATCTTTAGAAAATTATAATGTGTGTTTACATTTCACAATGCATTTCTAATTTGTAATTCTTTTTTTCTCGAGAGACAAAGTCTTGTGGTTGGGCACAGTAGCTCACACCTATAATCCCAGCACTTTGGGAGGCCTAGGCAGGCGGATCACTTGAGGCCAGGAGTTCAAGACCAGCCTGGCCAACATGGCCTATCTCTGCTAAAAATACAAAAATTAGCCAGGCACGGTGGCACACAGCTGCAGTCCCAGTGACTTGGGAGGATGAGGCACAAGAATCGCTTGAACCAGGAGGCGGAGACTGCAGTGAGCTGAGATCGAGCCACTGCACTCCAGCCTGGGTGACAGAGTTAGAGTGTCTCGAAAAAAAGAAAGAGACAAAGTCTTGCTATGTTATTCAGGCTGGCCTTGAATTCCTGGGTTCAAGTGATCCTCCCGCCTCAGCCTCCTAAGTAGCTGGGACTGCAGGTACGCTCCACCAAGCCCAGCTAGTTTTCTTTTTTACTTTTTATAGAGCTGGAGTCTATGTTGCCCAGGCTAGCCTCCATCTCCTGGGCTCAAGTGATCCTCCTGCCCCAGCCTCCCGAGTAGCTGGCACTAGAGGTGCATGCCACCTCACCAACTTTATAATTTATAATTCTTATGATTTATAATACTAAGTGACCTCAACCAGTGAGCCTTGGATTGAAATAAGTGGCCTTGACAATGGAGGTGGAAACTGGAGCCACTCATTGACCTCCTCGGACTGTGAGGTCTGCCTGCACCCTCAGTGATTATGCAGCAGCAGGGTGGCTTTGGAGATATGTCACAGGGACACTGCATCCTTTAGGGTGTGGCTGTGCCTAGAGTCAAGGTTGGGGGCCCTGAGTTCCCTTCCCCCAGCCCCCTTCACCTTAGCCACTCACCAGCTCCTTCTGGCTCTGAATGACAGCCAGCGCTGCCTCGTGGGTGTGGCAGTACTGCCTGCCTGTGTTCCAGTCTCTGGGTTCCTCAGAAAAGAAGTAGCACTTCCTTCCATAGAGCAGCCAGTCCTCCGGGCAGGGTGCTTCGCACTTGATACAGCCTTTGGAAGCTGCAGGGAAGAGACTGGCTCAGCCCTCCCCTGTCCACCCCCCACCCCCCCAGAGTCCCGCTCTACTTTCTGTGGCTCCCTCCCCTGCCTCCGCTTTGGAGGTGTCCCCCTCCAGGGACACTGCAGACATGGATGTCCTCTCCAGTGAGCACCTCTCCTGGTGCCTGGAGGTAAAAGGGTGGCCACTGAATAAATGAGAAAGAGGATTGTGGGAAGCTGACAGGGGCATCGCCGCGAGGGGAAGTGACAGTGGGACAGCCCCTGGGTTAGGATCTCCTCTGTCTCTAAGCTCCCAGAGGCATGGAACCCCAGAAATTCAGACTGGGAAGCAACCTGGAGGCTACATGTCTCTCTTTCCAGCTAGGCCAGATACCATGGTTAAAGACAGCAGGACGGACTGCCCACTCACTGTCTTTAACCATGCCCTTCCTTGTTAGCTACCAAGCTGCCATTCCACCACTGAACTGCTGGGAAGTTCTTTTCTTTTTTTTTGTATTTTTTAAACTCCCTTTCTGTCAGTGTGCATGAGTTTGTTTTTTGTGTGTTTTTTTTTTCTTTCTGATTTTTGAGACAGAGTTTCACTCTTGTTGCCCAGGCTGGAGTGCGGTGTGATCTTGGCTCACTGTAATCTCTGCCCCCCGGGTTCAAGCCATTCTCCTGCCTCAGCCTCCCAAGTAGCTGGGATTACAGGCATGCGCCACCAGGCCCAGCTAATTTTGTGATTTTAGTAGGGATAGGGTTTCTCCTTGTTGGTCAGACTGGTCATGAACTCCCGACCTCAGGTGATCTGCCTGCCTCAGCCTCCCAAAGTGCTGGGATTACAGGCATGAGCCACCGTGCCTGGCAGAAAGTTCTTAAATGTTGAGTCTTAACCTGTCCTCCTGTGACCTAGACCTAGGATCTGGCCTCTGGGTCGAGAGACACCCGTTCTGTCTTCTACCCCCTACTTGAGGAAGCTCACCAGCCTCCCTCATGCAGCTTGAAACAGATGCCATCTCTCCCATGATACCTGGCAAGGTTGCTCTCCATCCTGCCTGCTCACTGCAATGTCCCAATGTTACCACTGAATTGCTGCCACCAGGACAGACCGGGACACATCAGATGTGGCTCTACCAGTAGCAACAGTGGGCACCATGCAGTCTTCCAGTTGTCACGGGGCCTCCAGTCTGCAGACTGCTTCCGTGAACAGATTCGGTGGGTCTATGCATACATGGACTTTTCTGGGAAGGAAGCCCGGAGCTTCTCAAAGGACTTCCTTGCCAAAAGGAATTAATCTACAATCTTATATTGTTTTCATATGATCTGATTCTAAGCCAGGTCTCCCCCAGTGTCAGAACATGTGAAAATAGCTTCTTAAATCCAAATGCAGAACCTTCTATTTATTTCTTCCACATTTATCTCATTCCCTTTGGCTCATCATTTGAGTTTTTCAAGATACATTTGAATCTTGATTTCTTTCACCCATCTGTCATATGGGATTGTGTTTTTGGATTGTGTCAGCTACAAATTCCATAAGCATACTTTTTGTTTGTTTTCATACAAGTGATCGATTAAAATGTAGACCAGGACAGAGCCAAGAACAGGCCCCCTGGCACTCAAGCCCCTAGGGATCTACAGCTGCACAGACACCAATTAATTTATCGACACTCCCTGGGCGTATCTGTCAACGAGACGCGAATCCACCTGGGAATACTGACCGTTGTGTGGCTACATTTCAACTGCTTTCCACAAGGATCTCCTAGGAGACTGTTGCGCTTTATTGAAATCATATCAGCTATGTCTACACATTCCCTGGCCTCCCAACCTAGTAAGAGGATAAAAGGAAACTGACTTAATTTGGAGGAATTATTCCAGGTGAATTTAAGCTACACCCAGTGGTTGCCTGTTTATTTTTGTTTGTTTCGTTTTGTCGCTTCTGTCGCCCAGGCTGGAGTGCACTGGCACAATCTCAGCTCACTGCAACCTCTGCCTCCCAAGTTCAAGCAATTCTTCTTCCTCAGCCTCCCAAGTAGCTGGGACTACAGGTGCGTACCACCATGCCCAGCTAATTTTTGTGTTTTTAGTAGAGATGGGGTTTCCCCATGTTGGCCAGGCTGGTCTCAAACTCCTGACCTTAAGTGATACGCCCACCTTGGCTTCCCAACGTGCTGGGATTACAGGCGTGAGCCACTGTGCTGGCCGCCATATCCATTTCTAAATACTCAGAACCCCTCTGTTTGCCATGCAACCTATAGGGGAGGGTTTGGTAGGGACTGATACTGTTGGTGGACATTTCCCCTATTTTAAGGAGTCCACCTCTGGTCTTATGGCATTTCTCAAAGATTAAAGACAGAAGCACTAAAATCGTTTTTGCAAACCCTTCAGAACCTGCAATACACTTTTATTTGAATCTCTTAAAAGTAGTCAGATTCCCTGTTCATATACTCTTGCATGTTCTTAGGTGCAGTTTCTACCTTTTTCACTGATTCAGCCCTTTCAGTTACACACACTTCTCTGTTTCTCAGGCCTCTCCCACTTAGAATGTTCTATTTCCTTGATAGGGTCCAGAATGTGCCACCTGAAAATATGCGACTTTGACATGAGGATTATTTTAGGCTGAAGGCAATTAAGAATCAACAGGTGCAATGGCATGCACGTTTCATAAAATAAATAAATTTAAAAAAAAAAGAATCAACAGGAAGTCTGGGCATGGTGGCTCAGCCGAGGAAGGCAGATCACGTGAGGTCAGGAGTTTGAAACCAGCCTGGCCAATTTGGCAAAACTCCCTCTCTACTAAAAATACAAAAATTAGCTGGGCGTAGTGGCATGCATCTGTAATCCCAGCTACTCAGGAGTCTGAGGCAGGAGAATCGCTTGAACCCAGAAGGCAGAGGTTGCAGTGAGCTGAGATTGCACCATTGCATTCCAGCCTGGGTGACAGTGTCTCAAAAGAAAAAAAAAAAATGAATAGAAAGAGTTCTTTGCCCTCTCATCTGTCCAAAAGTAGGGCATAAATTTCCCTTCGGGGAGGGTGCTGTCCTATTCCCTATCCCCCACCCCATACCCTCTCAGACCTCCACTTCCCACCCTAAACCATGTTGGCCAGGCTGATCTCAAACTCCTGACAGGTGATCCACCAGCCTTGGCCTCCCAAAGTTTTGGGGTTACAGGCGAGAGCCACTGCGCTGGCTGAATGTGATCTTTAAAGGCCCTTGTTCCCAACCATCTCCTCCAAGAAGCACTGTCTGCCTAACCTACCCCAAGTTTGTTCTGAGTTCTCACGACACTTACAAAATAATTCCTAAGCAGCATCTCCATTCTACTCGCATGGCTTAATAAAGGGGACATGTATAGTCTGTGTGTGAATATATTATTTTAAGCTAAAATCTCGAGAACTGAAACTACATATTTTCTACTTTCTCAGTCCCCCGCAAGATTCTTGGAATGTCTAGAATCTTTCTTTAACTAATTAGAGGTGCTTTTAACAAGGAGTGTGCAAATCGAATTGCATAAATGCTCTGACATGCGTGCTCACCCAGGATGCTCATCACCACCAAGATGGCGAACAGAAGGACTGCGATGGCACCAAGCAGGAGACGTGTGGTGGTGTCTAGGAGAAGAGAGAGGAGTTCAACATCCCACCACCCATCCCACCACCAGTCCCCGCCACCAGCACCATATCCTGCTAATGACAAACGGGGAGGTGGAGCCCAGCAGGCTGCATTTTGCTGCTGTTGTGGTTGTTTTGAGACAGAGTCTCACTCTGTTGCCCAGGCTGGAGTACAGTGGCTCAATATTGGCTCACTGCAACCTCTGCCTCCCAGGCACAAGCAGTTCTCCTGCCGAGTAGCTGGGATTACAGACACCCACCACCACACCCAGCTAATTTTTGTATTTTTACTAGAGATGGGGTTTCACCATGTTGGAAATTCTAAAAGGCTTCATTTAAAAAATAACAGTGTGGGGGCACAGTGGGTCGTGCCTGTTATCCCAGCACTTGGGAGGCTGAGGCAGGTGGATCACTTGAAGTCAGGAGTTTGGCTGGTCTCGAACCCTGACCTCAGATGATCCACCCGCCTCAGCCTCCCAAAGTGCTGAGATTACAGGTGTGAGCTACCACGCCTGGCCAACAAGCTGTGTTTTAACAAGCCCTCCAGGTGATTCTGATGCAGGGTGGAGTTTAAAACTCACTGCTGAGAGCGCAGCTCTGATTGTGTGAGACCCGGGCTTGAAACCCTCCCTGCCAGGCTGCCCACCGCTCACGAACTCTTCAGTGAAGGTAAGAGCTTTCTACCTTGAATCTCCTGCTGATTCTCTATGTGGTCTCAGGTTTCACTCACATGGGTTCTTCACAATAACCCATTCAGCACTCACAGCCCTGCTACTGAGTCTGCTCCCAAAGTCTCCTCCTTAATGGATACCTCCTGGAATCCACTCACCTCTGCAGCATCCATCCTCTTCCTGATCCTCCAGGTTCACCCTTTGTCCTCCCTTTTTCCTTCCTTTCTCCCTCCCTCCCTTCCTTCCTCCCTCCCTCCCTTCCTTCCTCAGAGTCTCACACTGTCACCAAGGCTGGAGTGCGGTGGCACAATCTCAGCTCACTGCAACCTCCTCCTCCCAGGTTCAAGCATTCTCCTGCCTAAGCCTCCTGAGTAGCTGAGATAACAGGGACCTGCCACCACACTCTGCTTACTTTTTTTGTATTTTTAGTAGAGACAGGGTTTCACTGTGTTGGCCAGGCTGGTCTTGAACTCCTGACCTCATCATCCGCCCACCTCAGACTCCCAAAGTGCTGGCATTACAGGCGTGAGCCACTGCACCTGGCCTATTTATTTTATTTTATCGCTTAATATTATCATTTTATATGTAATGAGAGAACATGTTTAGACTTTAAACATAGGGTATTTTAAGGATGTTTTTAATTGTGATGAAAATACATAACATAAAAGATTCAATTTTAACCATTTCTTAATGTACGATTAGTGGCATTAAGTACATTCACAATGTTCTGCAACCATCATCACTGACTGTTTGCAAAACTTTATCATCCCAGACATAATTTCTGTCCCCTTAAACAGCTCCCACCTCCTGCTCATCCCAGCCCCAGACAACCACCCCTCTACTTTCTGTCTCTATGAACTGGACCACTCTAGGAAGCTTATACAAGAGGAAACATCCAGTATTTATCCTTTTGTTTCTGGTTCCTTTCACAGCATGTTTTCGAGGCTCATCCATGTTGTCGCATATGTCAGAACTTCATTCCATCTTAAGGCTGAATAATATTCTGTTTGCACAGCAAGAGCACATTGTGTTTACCCTTCATCTGTGGTAGACATTTGGGCTGTCTCTACCTTTTGGCTATTGTGAATAACGCAGCCATGAACATGGTATATGAGTATCTGTTCGCGTCCCTGCTTTCGATTCTTTCGGGTATGTGCTTAGGAGTGGAGTTGCTGGATCATGTAGTAGTTTGGGGTTTGTTTTTTCTTTTTTCTTTTTGCTATTTTTTAGGCAGAGTCTTGCTCTGTCACCTAGGCTGAAGTGCAGTGGCATGATCTCGGCTCACTGCAACCTCCACCTCCCAGATTCAAGAGATTCTCCTGCCTCAGCCTCCTGAGTAGCTGGGATTACAGGTGTGTGCCACCACACCAGGCTAATTTTTGTATTTTTAGTAGAGATGGGGTTTCATTTTGTTGGTCAAGCTGGTCTCAAACTCCTGACCTCATGATCCGCCAGCCTTGGCCTCCCAAAGTCCTGAGATTACAGACGTGAGCCACTGCACCCAGCCCACGTGGTAGCTCTTTCTGAGGAACCACTAACTCCCCGGTGGTTGCATAATTAGACATTCTCACCAGCAATAGACGAGGGTTCCAGTTTCTCCACATCCTCACCAACCCTTGTTGGTTTACATTGTTTTGATTACAGCCAACCAACGGTGTGAATTCCCTTCATAATTTTTAAGTGTACAGTTACATTGTTGTATGCCATTTTTAAAGTTTTTAAAATCAGTGTTATATATAAATCATGGATGAAAACTGTGCCTCTGCAGCTCAGTGTTGGTCTGTAAACTATTACTTGTCTCATGATATAAGTGCCAAAATTGAAAGGAAGAATTTGTAGCAATTCAGCATTACCTGGACATCCAAGGGCATGTTGCTAGTCATTCATTTGTATTGCATTTTACAAAGGATTTTGGAAAAAAAACCTGTTTCCTTCACCAAGGATAGACTGAAAAGCACAGATTTAAGGAATCAAGAAATTCTAAAAGGCTTCATTTAAAAAATAACAGTGTAGGATGCAGTGGGTCACGCCTGTAATCCCAGCACTTTGGGAGGCTGAGGCAGGTGGATCACTTGTAGTCTGGACTTTTAGACCAGCCTGGCCAACATAGTGAAACCTTGTCTCTACTAAAAATACAGAAATTATTCGGGTGTGGTTGCGTGTGCCTGTAATCCCAGCTACTTTATAGGCTGAGGCAGGAGAATCGATTGAACCAGGAGGCAGAGGTTGCAGTGAGCCAAGATCAGAGGTTGCAGTGAGCCAAGATCATGTCACTGCACTCCAGCCTGAGCAACAGAACAAGACTCTGTCTCCAAAAAATAATAATAATAGTAATAACATTGCTCCTTCCCCAACCACTTTCAACTCTTTTAGCTGACTCTTTCGGTATTAGCTCCAAATCTCTAAATGCCATGTGTATGTAAATGCTTCCAGATTTTTTCTGTTTTAGATATAATTTCTTGGCTTCCCATTATAATGATGCAGACTTAATTCTTTGCATTACCATTCCACCCTGACCACTCACTCTGCCCTCTCAATGTCATAGTTTGTATTAGTGTGATACGTGGCTGTTACATTCTTGTGTCAGTGTAAACAGCACTCTCAGCAAAACCATGCCATGTGTTGTGATCATTTCCATGGAACTTCTTGTTTCCCTGTTCATCATGGTCTTCTTTTCCCTTTGCTAAATCTTCTTTGTGCTTATCATTATCTCATCACCGAAACTCCTCTATCATGATGAGACAAAATCAGAAATTCTCTTTCACCTTTGTCTTAGTTCAGCCTGCTATAATAAACTGTCATAGACTGCGTGGCTTAAACAGTGGACATTTCTTTCTCCTGTTCGTTCCAGAGGCTGGATCAGCGTGCCAGCGTGGCTGGGGTCTGATGAGGAAACACTTCCTGGCTTGCTGACAGCTGTTTTCTGACTGTGTCCTTACACAGCGGAGAGAGGACGTTCTGGTGTCTCTTCCTTTTCTTATAAGGGTGCTAATTCCATCACGGGAGCTCTACCCTCATGACCTCACCTAAACCTAATTGCCTCTCAATTACCCACCTTCTCAATATCATCACATTGCAGGTTAGTGATTCAATGTATAAATCTGGGGAGGAAACACACATGCAGGCCATAACGACCATCTTGAAGAAATGTCCCTTGGAACTTTCTGACCTGCTGGAATCTGACTAGTTGCCTTCTAAGCCCAGCTGCCATCTGCAGTCTTCCCATACGAGCAGTCTGAGGATTTCTCTGCCTCTCTCCTGTGTTGGCTCTTCTGTTTCTTTTCTCCCATGTCTTCCTCTCCTTTGGTTTACTCCCTCTTCCTGGTGAAATGCATCATCCAATGGCTGCCTGAGGAAGGGTAGAGCAAAACCACTGCGCTGCGAAGGTCGGAGGAGCAAAGCTTCTCATCATGTTCCATGGTGAACTGGTGAATGTTACCCATGGAACTGTGAACTTACAGGACTCAGTATTATAGGTTGAGAATAAATTTTTTTCAGAATTTTGAAGGTATTACTTAATTGTCTTCTAGCTCCAGTATTGATTTTGAAAAGTCTAGATTCATTCTCTTCCATGATCCTTTTCAACTGCTTAATTCTTTTCTTACTAGATGCTTTTAGGGTCTTCATCGCAGTGTTCTAAAGTTTCATCGTTGCATGCCATGCCTTGGTTTGGTCTGTTTCATCTAATCTAATAGGCCCTTTCAATCTGGAAAGTGATGTCCTTCAGTTCCAAGAAATTTTCTTTTTTGAGACAGAGTCTCATTCTGTCACCCAGGCTGGAGTACAATGGCACCATCTCAGCTCACTGCAGCCTCCACTTCCCGGGCTCAAGCAATTCTCTTGATTCAGCCTCTCAAGTAGCTGAGATTACAGGTGCCCGCCTCCAAGCCTAGCTAATTTTTTGTATTTTTAGTAGAGACAGGGTTTCACCATGTTGACCAGGCTGGTCTTGAACTCCTGACCCCAGGTGATCCATCTGCCTTGGCCTCCCAAAGTGCTGGGATTACAGGCGTGAGCCACCATGCCCAACTAGGAAATTTTCTTTAATTATATCATTGTTGATTTCCTCTCCTCCATGTTTTGTTTTCTTTCTGGAAGTCATATTCTTCAAATGTTGGATCTCTTAGATTGGTCCTCCAAATTTCTCATCTTATTCTCTCCTCTTGTTTACTATCTATTTGCCTTTTTGCTGTATTTCTTGGAAGAATTTCTCAATTTTTCATCCTATCCTTCTACTGGGTTCTTAATTTCTGTTATTATATTTTTAATTTCCAAGGTTTTTTTTGTTTTGTTGCTGTTGCTCTATGAATATCCCCTCTTAAAGAATTT